GGTGGCAGTGGATATGGTGGGCGGCGGGAAGAGTCCAGCTACGGTGGTGGTGGTGGTGGTGGCAGTGGTGGTGGTTACGGTGGCCGTCGCGAAGAGTCTGGCCGTGGCAGCGGCGGCTATGGTGGCGGTCGTCGTGATGATCAAAGCTCTAGCAGATACGGGAGCCGTCGGGATAACCAGAGCCCTAGCGGATATGGAGGGCGACGTGACGATGGCCGAGGCCGGTATGGAGGAGGCCAAGGTGGCTCGGGGCGTTACTAGGAAGGCATCGAGGGCCTTTTCTTCCCAAAGGTTTAAGAACAGGAATCGAAGGATGCTGTTGAATTTGGAGGATCTATGAAGTCTATGAAGAATTGACGAGATAATAAGAGACGCAGAATTACGAAATAGTGGCAGGGGACAATCTACTCTAAGATATCGAGGACAAAGATCCGAGGAGAATACCGATTTCTGGTCGAGTTAGAAAGACAATGTGCGTAGTCGTCCATGAGACGATGAGATGACACCGTCCGACTCACTCATCCTGTCCTCGGCGAACTTGGCCCGCTGGGAAAAAGGGCCCATTCCGCACTCTGCATAAAGAGCATACGGCCGAGATTCATACGACAAGCCTCACCTAGTACTAGTACACTTCATAGTTATTAGTATCCGAGTTAAAAGTCTATGAAACGGGATGGTCATCCATGGGTGTTCCTTGGATCTACTCTACAATATGCCGAGAGCAACTACGCAAGCACACTACTAATATCCTGTATCTGGTGGTTAAAGAAACTTGGCGCAATGGCTCAAGTCCCCGTAATCAGGAAGATGCAGCAGCACAATGACGACAGTAAGGCAATCTAGAGTGGATAGCCAAAAGCTCTTCGATCCATACCCTTGTTATAATAATGCTATGCGGCGTCCCTTGCTTCTGATCGGGGATATCCCCAATTACGGCCATGCCCATCCAGAACCATTACTGGGTAGTGTTTTTCGCCTCGCTATCTGAATGCCCATGAGTATACAACGACATGGAAGTAAGTAACATAGAGCCATGTTCGTGTTTGTAGTTATAATTACTTGTACGAAATCAATATCTGGTAGTGTATGTACGTGTATACGCGGAGTGCTTCACGGAGGACATACGATGTGATCAGCGAGTTTGATACCCAAATGTGGGTATCGGAACAGCTTCCGTGATCTGCTTTCCCGTTTCTGCCATCTCCCGGAAAAGGAGGGTCCTATGTGATCTGCAGTGAAGACGTCGTCGATATCAGAGAGAAGGGATGGGCACGGGATCCCGGGACATGACTCCTCCCTACTAGGCCGTCGGTCCGAATCAAATCCCCTCTTCAAGGGCAGCTTCTGCTGGAGTTGTTAGACAGGGGTCCGCGAGGTAGGTATGGGGAAGATGATCGTCGAGGCGTAGAAAGTGAGTCTATATAAGAGAGATGGGAGCTGGTGTCTTGAGAGAAGCATGCTAGACTGCCGCCGACTCTCTGTCCTAGCTCTTCTCTTCTCTAACAGAACTTCGTATGTGACCCCCGCCCACCCCCCTTTTGAATGATATATATACATAGCTAACGAACTGACATCCACCCCTATGCGGCAGATTCAGAGCAGAATTTGACACAACTGACTCACTCACTTAACACTCGGAACCCTCGACTCTGTGACGATGAGGTCCTCCATCCCCCTCGCGGCCCTCCTCCCCCTGGTGACACCCTACCTCGCCTCACTGGCGTCGGCGCAAGCCTCGGGGACGGGCGGCACGACGCGGTACTGGGACTGCTGCAAGCCGTCGTGCGCATGGCCGGACAACGCGCCGGGGGCGGACAGCCCCGTGGGGACGTGCGACATCAACGACAACCCGCTCCAGGACGGCGGGTCGACGACGTCCGGGTGCGAGGAGGGCGGGTCGTCGTACATGTGCAGCTCCCACGGGCCGTGGGCGGTCAGCGAGGACCTCGCGTACGGGTGGGCGGCGGTGCGTATCGCGGGAGGCGACGAGGCGGGGTGGTGCTGCGCTTGCTACGAGCTCACGTTCACCTCCGGGCCTGTGGCTGGCAAGAAGATGGTGGTGCAGGCGACCAACACTGGTGCGGATCTGGGCGATAACCACTTTGACATTGCGGTATGTTTTTTTCTTCTTCTTCTTCCTTTTTCTTCTTTTTTGCTTCTTTTTTTTTCTTGCTGGTCATTTCCCCTGTTTTCTTCTACCTGACTTCCCACCTGGCCCCCTTTTCCTCAATACCGTGACTTTCGGCGAGGCGCCTATCACTGCCCAGCTCGTGTCGCGGAGGGAAGTCTTCCATAACACGCGTCTCCATCTTGTGACGTCGATCTTTCTCCAATGCGATGGATGGTTTTCCTAGAATGTTGGCTGGGGGTTAAGGTATTGCACGGATAGAGCATGTTTTTATTGGAGAGGTATTCGCTCGTACTTTGTACTCCTCCTTCCTTGTTTTCGGGGCGAACCCGACCGGACCTTCTCCCCCACACCCCCCCCACGAAGACCGGTATCGGAACAAAATGCGGGGCCGGTGATTTCGGAGGGTCTTCACCTTCACCATTCTCACCATTCCCTCCCCCCCACCATTATTGTTCAACACTTCACACTCAAAGCCAAAAATGCGTTGGAATCGTTGAACGCCCGGAACTAACCCGTCTCTTTGATCTGCAGATCCCCGGAGGTGGCGTCGGCATCTTCAACGCCTGCACGGACCAGTGGAACGCACCCCCCGACGGCTGGGGCGAGAGGTACGGCGGCGTCTCGAGCCGCCAGGAGTGCGAGCAGCTCCCTGGCGCTCTTCAGGACGGCTGCTTCTGGCGTTTCGACTGGTTCGGTGGTGCGGATAACCCGGCGGTCGAGTTCACTCAGGTCTCATGCCCTTCCGAGATCACGTCCCGCAGTGGATGCAGGAGGCAGGACGATGCTATGTTTAGAAAGAGGCGTTAAAGGGGGGGGGAAGGGGATGGATGGTGGCAAGTCGGCAGCTCGTGGGCCTTTTATTGTGAAGGGGCATGATGAGTTGAATTGAGGAGCCATGGACGTGACGAGGTGAAGTGTAAGGTTCAAACTGAAGCCCAGTCGCCCCGTGGGTGTCGGATGGAAGGTCGGCGCGACAGTATCTCGGGGCCCTCTAGTTGGAGCAGGTTTCGGGCAGTGGATTTTGCGATGAAGACGAGACAAAAGTCGTAGCAAGGCCCATGACCTTACCCTAATGATCTTCTTCCGTGGTCCAGGAGCGGGTAGGAGTTCAATGTGATGTTGATTTTTAAGATGGTGATAAAGCTTGGCAGCGGTCGGGTTCGCGGTTTGGACAGGGCATAGACGGGGAGACTAGTCGGGAACTTTAACCTTTTTTTCGGAAGAAGCATATGCTTGTTTTGAACCTACAGGAATGACGTGACCCTTCCGGCTCGGCAGCCATACCGGTTGATAATTCATCACTTAGGGTACCTTAGGTAACTACATATGGTGCTGGTGCTGGAAAAAAAAAAAATGGAAAAAAGGAAAAAAAAGGAAAAATAAAGAAGAAAAGAGAGGCAAATTTCATCGAGTACCCAACGACACCGTGGAAGGTAATTATCGGCCTGTCTCCCAGAATCCCAAACACCACTTACCGCCCCAATCGTCCCTCCTGACAGTTATCATACACTGATACACTGTAGTGGAAGCGCTTCTGGGCACGCGATCCTTTGTTACGGGACGATGGCCTGTCGATCATTAATCTGCAACGTTTCTTTCGCGCCCCCTTAGGAGCTGAATTGCGCGTACCAGTAAGAACATAAAGTAAGAAGGCCGAGTTGAAGAACGTCCCTCTTTCTGCTTGCCTCGTTTTGGGTACTGGCGCCCCGTCCCGTACTTCATGTTGGTGGTGAGAGATGAAATTACCTTGTGGTGGACTCCCACCTGAGAGCTACATAAGGTACCTATGTACATTAGGTACTTTAACGGAGTCGCGTCCTTGTCGTGGTACTTCGTAGGTACAGTAAATCGTCAAAAGAACCGAAGTGCTTTGCATAATGTGATCGTGTAGAAATGCTTCGCTCCTCTTACAAGGTCACAGTACCTCGCGCTAACGCCCTAGGTAATGTAATTTCTGTAGGAGTAACGGTCATTTCTCCGTTACCACCCTTCCCGCCTACCTATCTTGCGATACCTTGCAGTACCATCCCTGCATGCATTGTCCCTGAGCTGGATAAGGTAGAGGACAAGTCCTCATGTGTGTACCCACCACGAGGTCTCTGTTAATAAGGTAGGCCCGACCTTCGGACTTTAAGTTCCTGTTCCTGTTTCTCCCATCCATCGGCCCCCCACCCCTTTTCTCTCTCCACCACCCACCGCAACCCCTGTTTAGCCTTGCTGGCTGGATCCGACAAGCTTCTCTTTCTTTTCTGTTCTCTGGCACCTTAATGGGCTTTTCCATTTCGATCAATTAAGTAGGTATGCTCCCTCGATAACGACCTCGTAAGCCGAAGCACCACCGTCCGTCGACCATTTCCTTTTTCCTTTTCCCTTTCTTTCCCCCCATTTCTTTCCCCTCCTCACTTTTCCTCTTTCTTGCTGAGCCCCCTCCCCAGTAATCGTCACCATATCGTTTTACTCATTTACCGTACCGCCGGAGCTGGGGGGGCTAGATTTCTTCCGCTATCCGTACTCCGTACTAGCTTCGCGCTTCGCATACAACGCAACGTACTTTCTAAGCGAACCCTCGGGTCCATACCATACACTCTTTCTCCTAGAACAAGAACAACATAACCCCTCCGAAGCCAACCGTCGACCGAATCGGCCTACAAAGTGCTTCGTTACCTTGCCCATTTCATTCTCGCACGACATTCAACCGCCCTCGATAGACTTCGTTCGACGTCGTTCGGCTTCGCCTCGATCTCTTTTGAATTCCACGGCTCAACACGTAGAAAGCGATCGACCAACAAAACGAAACCCTTTGCTCTCCCCACTTGTTCAGGACTCCCTTGTCAACCCGACTTTCTCTCTTCCCATCTGCCACACTTGCGATCCGGTCCGCCTCTCGATCCTCACCATCCTGCCTACCTGTCGTAGGAGGATTCGATGACTTCGGCCCAATGCGTGCATCTCTGAGGGAAGAATGTGTATGAGCTCTGCCCTCTTCTCCCTTCTCCCTCCCCCTTCCCCCATTCGAATGTTGTCTCTTTTTGTCTGCCCTCTCGCCCTCTCCCCCTTCCACCCCCAACCATCAGCTCTCCCCGTCCTGATCACTCGCCGCCGTCTCGTGCGGAAACTTTTTTCTATGTGGCCCAAAGAACTTTCTCGTATCATTCCCGGCTTTGGCATCGGTAGCTGACCTCTTACAGCGCTCGAACAGATTCGAAACAGCGTGTATGTCCCCGAATCTCCCATCGCGCCCCTATCGCAGTCTCTCGCTTTCTGCTTTGCTTCCTGCGCTGCCCATGGCCTCATGAGCCTCGACCGCTACACAGTTACACTAGAGCAGACGTCATCTGACCAGTTTTGCAGGCTATTCTTCAGCAACCCAGTATGGACCGGCGCCAATACCATCCCGTCCACCTTGATCAGGAACATCACTGCGATTTCTGTACGTTCCCTTGTCTTTACTTTCTTTGTCCCTCTTCATGGGGGGTTTTCATTTTCATTTTTATTTTTTACTTGACTGTTTATCTGACTCCTTGCCCCCATATAGAGCTCTCTCGCATACCAGGATACTCTAACAACAAACCTAACAACCTTGACCACAACTAACATTCAGACCCGCAACGGCATCATCCAAGGCTTTCTCTATGTTCCTGACATTGCCCCGACCAACCCGTGCTACGAGCAGCAGTACGAGTTCATCCCGCGAAACACGACCACCCAAGCAGAACTTCCCCCCTCGAACTATAACCTCATCGCTCTAGCGCCATGGTTCAACGCAACCTGTACCCAGGCCTACCTGGCTGCTGCTCGCCTCGACCCCATCCGGGGCTTCATCTTCTATCGCCCGAACAACTCTACCAGGGAGCCTCAAGGCGTCAACTCGCCCATATGGGATCTCGACGATGATGGAGCATGGCACACCCAGAACCACTTCCCCGTCTTCGCCGTCTCCGGAAATGAGGGCGCCAAGATGATGGTCCAGCTGTCCTTGTACTCTGGCGCCCCCAATACGATCCCCTTTGCCCCCGAGATCGCCGAGCGATACGAACCGAACGACCGCGATTTCATCCGTGTCTGGACGGAACTATCCATCCACGATGCGCAGAACTTACCTGCCATGTGGACATGGATCCTAATCGTCATTGGCGCGCTCCTTTTCGTCGTCGCCTGTGTGTCCATCACAATGCACCTCATCCAGCGACACCGCCGTGCCTCTCTCCGACGGAGGGTTATCAGCGGCGAGGTCGACCTCGAGGCCATGGGCATAAAACGAATGACAGTACCCCCAAGCCACATCCAGACCTTCCCGCTCTTCACCTACAGCTTCCAGCCGGACTTGATCAGGTCCCCGTCCATCGCAGCTACCCGGTCCTTACGTTCATCCCGCAGCGTCCGGACCGACCATCGCGCCATGTCCATGTCCGACTTCAGGTCGACTTCGAGGACTCGTCGATCGAGCATAACCAGTTCCGCCAACACTGTAGCCACAAACTACCAGCCGCACTGCCACATCTGCTTGGAGCAATACGAAGACCGCGAGACCATTATACGGGAGCTGGTCTGCGGTCACATCTTCCACCCCGAATGCATCGACGAGTTCCTGGGCTTGAACAGCTCTCTGTGTCCCATCTGCAAGAAGAACATGCTCCCTCGCGGCTACTGCCCCAAAATCACCAACGGGATGGTACGCCGTGAGCGGGCCATCCGGAAGCTTCGGGAAAGAGTGGTGCTGGACGATTCGGATGTCGAAGAAGGGGAGGCCAAGAAGCGGAAATGGACAGAGTGGATTTTCCACAAGGAACCGTCGCCGCCTCCGAGATCTGGCGTGAAAATGACACCGGTGACACCGGTCAAGGATTCTCCGGCTCCAACCGCGGGAGCAGACTCCCAGACGCAGACGCGAAGAGAACCCTCTCAGACGCCACCGGTGCAACGGACACTGGAGCCGCACCAGGAAGACGCGCAGGAAGACGCACCACAGACCGAGGGAGGAGATGGTGGACCGGAGCGACAACAGCAGCAGCGACAAGTTCAGACCCCTCGACCCCCAGCGACCATCCACCATTCGAAGAAATCGAAACGACGAATGGATCAACATCGGAACCCCCATCTGCAAGCTCCCCATACTGCCGACCCGCCACTATCAGCCCCCCGTCACCCCGGAGGCCGGAAGAGTCCGTCTGTTCTGGCACGCCAGAGGATGCGAACGCTTGCCGGTACGCCTCTGGATGATCCCGATGGCAGGAGTCCGCTATGTAAGAAAACCCCCCCTTGGCCCCTCAAAACTGCGCCATGTGTCGGATCGTCCTCACATGCTAACCGAGAACTTTAGGGAAACGGGCCTTCACCAAAGTTTTCCCGGGTTTCACCTGAGGAGACAGACTCCCGTTCCGCGTCAAAACTGTGTATGCGGCGTCTTACTGCGATGGGTGGTCCGGCATGGGGAAAACGGCGTTTTGGCTGAGCCTCCCTCTGGCTTCACCGCAGGGATGAGCTGAGGAGCGTGTCTTTTTGGGTGGCTGAAACAATTGGGAATATGTCGTGGACCCTTCAAAAACAAAATCCCGTAGGGTAAGGACGGGCGTGGCGTTTTTGTTTCTGGGTTTTTTTTCACCTTTTTTTCTCTAGCTATTTACTCGGCATCGACGTCGTGGGGTCTGGTATTCAGGGCCGTTCGCGGCGGAATGAGGGCATGGGTTTTGGTCGGATATATCATATACCCGCTATATCGGGAGAGGATGCTGTATTTATTTTATTACTGTATGGCCGATTGACGGCTTGCATGCGCCTTTTGAGAAGACAACCGTGGAGTCTGAGACGCTGGTGCTGCGAAGCCCTGCAAACCGATTTGGACGCAGCGTAAATCAAGATCGTTCTCATACCAACTTGATATTTCCTCGACCATACATGCCTGATGACAGATGGGCCCTAAAACTGCACCTGAACGCCGCCGGCTCCCTGGTCCCTTTCATTTGCTTTGCTTTGACCGTTGCTTGCATTCCATAAAAACAAACGCCAGAGGAAAAGCAAAACCTGCAAAGTATATAATTTCCATCACCCAGCCGAAGTAGCAATTATCCATCCTGTAAATGCTCATAAAAACGCCAAGGAAAAGAACGAAGCCCATGCTGCGCCGGTTCACATCCGACCCTCGAGAAGCCAGGGTTCTACGGGGACGCCGCCACGGGCGAGAGTCTCGCGGATCTTCTCGTTCTCGGCCTCGCGGATCCGCCTCCGCGCGAGTTCGAGCCTCTCCACGCCGCGGTCGATGGTCTCGACGTGAACGTTGAGGGGGATGCGACCGCCGCGGGGGGTGCCGCTAGCGAGAGCCGGCTCGGCGACGCGGTCGCGCAGGTCGGCGAGGCCAGCCTGAATGCCCTCGAGCTCGAGGACGAGGGCGGAAACCTGGTCGACGGCGCGGACGCGCTGGTCGTTGACGGAGCCGAGGAGGCGGAGCTGGGCGTCGAGGTTGTGGATGGCGCGGCGGTTGCCGCCGACGAGGGACCAGAGGGTCCAGAGGATGTCGTCGCGGCGGGTCTCGACGGCGTTCTGCGAGCGGGTCTTGACGTCGTAGATGTGAGCCAGGTGGTCCTCTGAGCGGGTGAGGAGGCGGAGCACGGCTTGGGCCTCGACGATGAGGTCGGCGATCCGGTCGGAGACGAGGGCGGTGTGCTCGATGTACTTGTCCCGGAGGGTGGAGGGGGTTATGGCGGGTTGGAAGGGGTAGAAAAGCCAGGCTGTCCAGCGACTCAGAGCTTGGACGGATGCCGGGGCGGAGGCGGAAGAAGAAGAAGAGTCTTCGGCGAGGCTGTCGATGTAGCGCGATGTCCAGCGGTTGATGGAGATGACGGAGTCAACGGCGGAGCTGACGTGGGTGTTGAACTTTTGGAGGTCGGCGGCGACCTGGCGGGCGGTCTCGACGAATTCGTCAAGCTCGTAGACGAGCTCATCGCGCTCGGGCAGTTCGGAGTGCCGGACCAAGGTGCGCAGGTCCCGTATGGAGGTTTCGGAGCGCTTCATTTCCATGGGCAGAGAGACGCCGTCGACGCTGCGCTCGAGGACCTTCTCAAATTGCGACTGGACATTCATGAGGTCGTCAAACTCGACGTCCTGTCGTCCGTCTCCCGGAACGTCGGCAAATCGAGGGCAAAAGGGGAGGTCGAGGTAGCTCACGCCGGGAACGCGGCAGAGGGGAGACAAGGAGGCGGTTATGGATTTGGTGGCCATGTTGTGGAGGATGATGAATCCGCCCAGGAAAAGGTAAAGGGCGACGCCCAAGGCCAGGGGCACTTTCAACATGCGGAAAGCCATGCCGATGATTTCGAAGAACCAGGCCAGGATGCCGACGATGGCGCCGGGTAACGACTCGGAGACTTGCTCGCCGAGCGTCTTGCGGTCAGGTTCGTCCCGGTAATGGCTACGCCGTCCGCTTCTTCCCGGTTGCAGGCTGCTGCTGGTGGTGGTGGTGCTGCTGTACGAGTGCTGCGACTGCTGGGGCCGACGACGCAAGCCAAACCGAGAAGGCGCCGACGGAGGGTCGGGACGAATGGTCCTCGAGGAGGCAGCGCTGTTGGCTTGCGCAGGCGAGTTATCCACACGCATAGACGGCATGCAGAACTCCGGGTCGGCAGTGCGATGTCCCGCGGCCGAAGTCTGACGCGATGAAGCCATGGACGGTCGAAAAGGCGATCGTAGAATGACGCGCTCGTCGTCGGCACGGTGGACAAAGTCGCTGATGCTGTGGTTGCTTCCTTGAGAATCGAGGCTGCTGAGCTGAGGCTGAGAGGAGAGGTGCGAAGGACCGCTAGAGAAGGGGAGGTCGGCGTCGAGATCGATATCGGGGACGATTGAGGTGTCGAAGCTGTCGTTTTCGCCTCCTTCCACCATGCGCCATGAACTGTCAACAGGGAGTCCCGGGTCTCGAGTTTCTCGACGCGAATGCATGGTGGGTTTTGTAGGCGTTGTTGGCTTTTTCGGAAGCGGAAAGACTGGTGGCTGGCGACCAGATTTTCTTTCTTCTTTCTTCTTGCTCTCTTTTTTGTTTTCTCGTTCGCCCCGGTTCTCTTTACCATCAAAGACCGGGTTGCCTAGGATAACAGGCTTGGCAAAGCCAGAGAGAAGAGAAAGAGAGAGAGGGAGGGAGGGAGGGAGGGAGAGAGTCGGTGAGACGGTGGTCGAGTGGATGTTTATTTATCTTTGTCTAAATATGGTTGAAGTTTGTTCATTGTGAGTCATGTTAAAGGGCACGGAATCTCTTTGTCGATGGCGAATATAGGCGGCATTTCGCTTGGACTTTAGGCAGAGGCGATCGTCTTTGTGATGGAATACGGATAAGGAAGTAGGGATGGAGGGTTGTTGCTTGACCGATGTCATAGTGTCATAGGCCTGGAGTCTCGACTGCTGTGACGAACAAGGGTCCAGGGGTAAGGTAAGGTAATTAGCAACGATACTGGGTACTGTTGTGGTACCTACGAATACATTTGGACAGTCATTTGTACGGATAGGCGGATGTTGTGTGCGGTGACTTCATTGTAATTCCGTACAGGTATGAAATATGTATCCGTACGCTATACAGAGTAGTACTCCAGAGTCTTATTTAGCCTCTTGACCTTCAGGCCAACGCCCACGTGAGACGTATACGTTTATTAAACACTTATTTTGTATATGCATATAAAAACCCTGTTCTTGAACCTTATACCCCTTTATAATAATAGCCGTACCCCACAGTTTAGGTTCAACGAAGGACCAGCTCACGCGCAGGCCCCCACTTTCAGCCTTGACTGAATTATCACAACGTTGACTATCGGCCATACCTTGGCCGATGCTTCCTTCCGTTCCCAACACCAACTACCTCTGTACCTGCCACTTACCGTCTACCACCTGCCGCCTGCCACCTTACCTTACCGTCTAACCTCTACGCTCTTTTGTTCTCTTTTGTTCTCTTTTTTTCCTCTTCTCCTTTCACTGGGATTATCACTTTATCACCACCTACCTACACAACGCGCGCACGCAAGCCTTCACGGTCTCTCTAGTTCTTGCGAAACGACTCAACGACTTCACAGTCTTTGCATTGTGTCGAACCCCGACTCTCCGAACTATTAATCACATCCAGGCAAAATGGACCAGGCAGTCAAGATGGATCACCGCGAGTTTGAGACTACCATCAAACAACTTCAGAAAACAGTGGCTCTCAATGAGGCCGCAAGCAATGTCTTGGCCATTCTGGAGCGACTGAAGAAGGAGGCCATGCCTACCGAGGATATGCTTCGTGTTAGTCACTAATCCCATCCATCATACCTCTAAGACCTTTTTTCTTTCTTGTCTCTATTCCCCTTGCATGTGATTCTTGACTACCCCCTTCCGTTAACTTTTCGACCTACCATCCATTAGGCCACTCGTGCTGGTGTGTTTGTCACAAAGCTTCGGCATAACCCAAACAAGGATATTGCCCGCATCGCCGGCGAGCTTGTCGCTAGATGGAAGAAGCTCGTCGAAACAGAAAAGAACGCTCGCATGCAAAAGAGGAAGCAGTCCTCCCCCGCGACCCCTTCCCCCTCTCTCTCGACCGCCGCCCTCCCCGCCTCCGGCGCCAAACCCGCCGCCTCCTCCGCGTCGCCAGCCCCGAGCGCGAGCGCGAGCGACGTCTACAAGGGCAACCCCGAGAAGCGGACCCACCAGGTCGACACCATCGACATCAAGCGGACGGGCGACGTCACGCGCGACGGCACCATCGGTCTCCTCTACAACGGCCTCGCCTACCGGTCCACCCTCGCCCCGGAAGCCGTCATGAAGCGCGCCGTCGAGATCGAGCTGGCCGGCATGAAGCACTTTGGCGGCGCCAACGACGCGTACAAGAAGAAGATGCGCTCCCTGTTCCACAACCTCAAGGTCAAGAGCAACAAGTCGCTGGGCGAGAACGTCATGTCCGGCAAGATCACCGCCGACCGCTTCGTGGCCATGACGCAGGACGAGCTCAAGAGCGACGAGCAGCGCAAGAAGGAAGAGGACCTCCAGCTCGAGAACATGAAGAAGGCCCACGTCCCCATGGCCGAGAAGAGCATCAGCGACGCCCTCAAGTGCGGCAAGTGCGGACAGAAGAAGGTCAGCTACTCGCAGGCCCAGACCCGCAGTGCTGATGAGCCTATGACCACCTTTTGCGAGTGTACCGTTTGCGGTAACCGGTGGAAGGTATGCTTTCCTTTCTTTCTTTCTTTCTTCCTTTCCCCCCTTTATCTCTTTTTTGTTTGCTAACCCGTTTGTCCCACAACTCAGTTCTCTTGAACAACACGTGCGGATCAAGTAGTAGGAGGTCAGACGATGATCTAGACGATCATGATGACGAACGAAACGAACGTTGCAGCGCCAGCTGCCTGAGGGAAAATGGAAAATCCGAGGCGGCTGTTTGCCTTGTGATTCAGATATCTCTGACTCCCTCTTCTTCCCTCCCTCATTTTTGCCTCTTTTTTTCATTTCTTCCCCTTTGCTTGTATTTTGACACGATTAGGCTGGCGTTTCATGGCCAGCGGGGAAACACAGGAAAGAGGCGTTGGCATTCTGCTGGCCGGCAGGCGGTGGAAAATTTTCTCATTATTGAGTCGGGATTTTCTTTTGCATCTCGGACTTGGAGACTCTGGGGGGAATTGAGACCCGACGGCGTGGAGAGGCAGTGGTTCGTCCCCGTCCCTTTTTTTTTTTTTTTTTTTTTTTTTCGCATACCATACGATGCGAGTGTAGCTCAAGTTAGACCATCGCTTGCTTAAGCGCAACAAAAGACGAAAAAGACCAGTCAAGTCAAGCCTGATGGCATATAAAGTGGCTCGGCGTGATTTTGAACAAGCCTGCTTGCTGTATTTGTCTGGGGGATGGGGAGGACCGAGTCGGCAGGATAAGCCACTGTATATATCAAGGTCCGCAACGGAAAAAGAAAAAAAGATTTCAACATACGGGTAACAACGCCCACCCAGCAACACCCAGCAACACCTACGCCCCCCTGCCGAGATACTAATTCATACATGGCTTACTGCCAACTCACCCCCTACCCAAACGTCCACATTTTTGCTTCGTATGCATGGGAAATGTGCCCAAACGAAAACCGAGGTCCTAGGGGGGACTATGACCGCAACGCCAAGGCCTTTTGCACGGTGGCCTCTATATCTATGCCCAAGGTGGCAAACAGATCATCCTTCTCGTCATCCTCCTCGAGCCCCAGCTCGGCGACGTGGCGCCAGAACTTGCTCAGGTGGCGGGTGCCCGAGTCGCAGAGGACGGTGACGACGCGGCTCCCCTCGGGCAGGGTCATGGCGGTGACGGCGGCGGCGACGCAGTTGACGGCCGAGCTGCTGCCGACGAAAATGCCGTCCTTCTCGACGAGCCAGCGCGCCATGCGGCAGGCCTCGTCGTCGGTCACGCGCACGGCGTCGTCCACCAGTTCCCGGCCGGCCTCGAAGTTGTCGGTGATGCGCGTGATGCCGATGCCCTCGACGATCGAGTCGACCTGCTGCCGCCGCCGCGTGCCTTCCTTTTCGGTGGGCGAGTACATGACGCCGTGGCGAATGCGGTGGTAGAGCCCGCTCCCTTGCGGATCTGCCAGCACGATGCGCAGCGGCGGCGGCGGTGATGACGACGACGACGACGACGACGACGACGACGACGACGACGACGACGACGACGGTGGTGGTGGTGGTGGCGAGTCTGGCTTTCGGTTTCCGTTTCCGTTGCATTCGACGCTGCTCCTCCTCCTCCTCCTCTCCTTCGTCCTCCACGCCTCTTCCTTCAGAAACTTGGCCACCCCGGAAATAGTCCCGCCCGTGCCTGCCCCCGCGACAAAGGCATCCAACTGGCCCCCGGTCTGCGCCCAGATCTCCGGGCCCGTGCCCTCGAAGTGGGCGTGCCAGTTCGCCGGGCTCTCGAACTGGTCGGCGAAGAAGCCGTGGCTGCCGTCGGCCATGACGGAGGCGTGGTCCCGGGCGCGGCGGCGGGCGAGGTTGACGAAGTGGTCCGGGCTCGTGATGGGCGCCACGGGGACGCGCTCGACGGTGGCGCCCAGGCGGAGGAGCAGGTCGCTCTTCTCGCGGCTCTGGTCGTCGGGCATGCAGATGTGGCAGCGGTACCCCCTGGCGCGCGCGAGGGTGGCCAGGGCGATGCCGGTGCTGCCGACGGTGCCTTCGTAGATGGTGTCGCCCCGGCCCGGCACCAGGGTCCCTGCGGCCTCGGCGGCGCGGATCATGGAAAGGGCCACGCGGTCCTTGGGGGATTGGCCGGCGCCGTTGAGGAACTCGGCCTTGGCGAGGATGGTGCGGCCGGTTGCCTCGCTCAGGCTCTTGATTCGGATGAGAGGAGTGTTTCCTATGGCGCCTTCAATGCCATCTACAGGGGGGGGGGCTCGCGAACCGCGGCGGCCGAGGGACTGAGGAGGAGGAGGAGGAGGAGGAGGAGGAGGTAAATCCGAGGACGAGGTTGGGGCTGTGCCTAAAGTTGAGCCTGAAGTTGAGCCTGCGGCACGGTTCGATTCACGGTCCTCCAACTGGATGGACGGGCCCCAGAAGAGGGAACTGCGTCGGCCCGGCCCGTCATCGGCGACAGTATCATTCGTATCACGACGATAATGACGGCCACGCTTGCTCTGGTAACGTTGTTCTAGGTCTGGATAGAAGTCTTTGAAGCCAAGGGTGACAAGTATACCGGCGGTGAAGGCTACTGCGATGGCAACGGACCCGTAGGCTTTGGGATGGTCGGTGAGAGACATGATTCCACTGTCACCAACTCGTGATACCCATCATCCCAACCTGAGAGCTCGTGTACGACGATATCTGGGTATTGGTCGCAAGGAGGGGGGACCGTGAGGGGCGGAATGTTCCCACACCTTGACCTGTGAGTAAGGTAAGACTAATGCTTCTATGGGGTATCGTGTGACCGGAAGGAAGAGAGAAAGACAAGGGGTTTAAAAAAAAGAGGAAGAATAAAAAAAAGGGTTGAAAGTTGAATTGTTGACCAAAAGACCAAGGACGACCAAGGCAGCTGACACGTCGAGCAGCCCAAGCCAAGGTCCCGTCTAAGCTTTTTACGTTAGTGCGAAGTGCAAAGTACTTCGAAGGTACACCGCCCTCCCGTAATTGTGTAACCAGCGATCAATGAATGACTCTTCGTACCTGTGACGTGGTAAAAATGATGTCATTTCAGGGACTGGGGGCATAATTACGGCATCAACCCCAGGGCCGAGCCCAAGCCCCGTTTGTACGTTGGTATGTTTTGTTCCACTGCAGGTACGCATACAGCGCATAGCAGGTACCGGGTTTATTACCTAATCAACAATCCCCAGAATCTCAATTATTGCGAGACCTTTAACCATCGAATTATATTCATTTATATTCATGGTATTCATTTTGGGTACAGGCGATTTCCCCTACATCTACCCTACCAACTCAATCGACCCTCGCCCCCGATGGATTCGCCCGTCGTCACGCGTCTCTTTCGGGAACTGTTCCGTCACCCTGCCTGCCAGTCGCGACATGGTCTTTCGAGGTTAACACCATCATCTTCCAGCCTCATCTCCCATCCACCTCGACCTCGACCTCGACACCACCACCAAAGAAGACACTATGCCGTCAAGGCGAAAATGCCCAAGGGGGAAAACACGAATGAAAGTGCCTGGCAACAAAGATCGCTCATATATACAGAAGACAAGTCCGAAGAATTCAGCCAGTACCCTACCGTGACGGCCGAGGAACTTCGAGGTCGAGACCTGAGGCCGAAAAAAGTGAAGATGCTCATGCGCGACTTCATCGACGGTTCGTCCCGGGCAAACCCGCTTGCTGCAATGCCATTTTGACTGACCTTGTGATATAGACAGCTTATATAACCCACACTACGGCTACTTCTCGAAAAACGCCGTCATCTTCTCCCCCGGAGAGCCCTTCGACTTCCCCTCCTTCCGAAACGAACCCGACTTTTACCGCGAACTGGGCCACCGCTACACCGAGTTCGAGGATGCCCTGGACGCCGAGGAGGGTGTCCGGGACGACCGGCCCCTCTGGCACACCCCGACAGAGCTCTTCCGCCCTTACTACGGCGAGGCCATCGCCCGCTACCTCGTCACCAACTACCGCCTCACCACCTACCCGTACCACGACCTCATCATCTACGAGATGGGCGCCGGCCGCGGCACCCTCATGCTCAACATCCTCGACTACATCCGCGACGTCGACCCCCAAGTCTACGCCCGCACCCGCTACCGCATCATCGAGATTTCGTCCAACCTCGCCCACCTCCAAGGCCAGAACCTGCGTCGCTCCGATGCTGCTGCCGCCGCCACTTTCTCCTCCTGCTCCTCCAACCTCACCGCCAGCCGCCACGCCGACAAGGTGGAAATCATCAAAAAGTCCATCTTCGACTGGACCGAGCGCGTCCCCTCCCCCTGCTTCTTCCTCGCCCTCGAAGTCTTCGACAACTTCGCCCACGACTGCCTCCGCTTCGACCTCCGCACCGAGGAGCCCCTCCAGGCCCGCGTCCTCATCGACGCCGCCGGCGACTTCCACGAGTTCTACGACCCGGACCTCGACCCCGTCGCCGCCCGCTTCCTCCGCGTCCGCCACGCCGCCACCGCCGGCCGTTACCCGGCCCCCTACCCTCCTCACCGCTGGCTCCGCGACCTCCGCGCCCGCCTCCCCTTCAGCCCCAACCTCTCCCCGCCCGAGTACATCCCCACCCGCCTCATGCAGTTCTTCGACGTCCTCGAGCGCTGCTTCCCCGCCCACCGCCTCGTCACCAGCGATTTCCACTCCCTCCCCGACGCCATCGAGGGGCTCAACGCCCCTGTCGTCCAGACCCGTTTCGAGCGCATGACCGTGCCCGTCGGCACCCCTTTGGTACGTTCTGGCCCCCTTTTGTCATAACACACACACACACACACACACACAGACTAACACGAGCGTTCGTCTTAGGTCCACCAAGGCTACTTCGACATCATGTTCCCCACCGACTTCACCATGGTCGAGTGCATGTATCAGGCCATCACCGGCAAACTGACCCGCGTCTCGTCCCACGGCGACTTCATGCGCCGCTGGGCTTACCTCGAGGACACCGAGACCCGGAGCGGCGAGAACCCCCTTCTGACGTACTATCAGAACGCCAGCGTCCTGGTGACTGTCTAAAGCCAAGAGACGAGGGCAGTTAAGGGGGAAACTGCCCTCTTTTCACACTTGTCCTATACACATCTCATATCTTCTTCCATCTTCCATCGTCTCGCCCCTGTGTAATAACACATTTTCCCCAACATACAGACGGGCCGTGCAAGGCCGTTGGTGTACATACATCTTTATATATACTATACTGCTACCTGACCTGGGTATACCCTTTACACACTACCCAAGATACATTCTATGCTGCGCATCACTCTGTCCCCTGTCATGCTTATGTAGTGTATCACGACAGATGATGATTCTACCCTGCCTCTCTTAGCCGGGGAACAAAAATGCACCGTCCATCCATCTACCATATCCCGCAGAAAGCCATTTTATATGCTCGTTGGAAACTCATTCCTCGGCACTGCCTGCAATGACTTAGAGCTTCAACTTCTCCTCGATCCATTTCCGAGCCGTTTCCACACCGTCTTCGGTGTTTTCCGGCTTAGTCCCCTGCCCCTGGCGTGTCGGCTCTTTGCCTCCCGACTTGCCTCCGATAACCCCGCTCACGGTCGTAGCCCAGCTCTCAGCCGTAATGCCCTGAGAAGCGAGATCCTGTTTTTGATCTGTCAGTAAAAATCCCTTCATCTGCCAAACCGGCGAAGAGTTCGTAAGTGGGGAGGGGCCTACCGTTCCAACGTAGACACCGTGAGCAACAGCTTCGTAGTCCTTGCCACCACCAAAGATATACACAGATCGACTCTTGTCCTTGGACCTACAACCCAAAAGCGTTAACATTCTCCTTTTTTTTTTCCCCCTTTCCGGGGCAGGACAGAACATACGAGTAGTGTTTGATGACATCGGCCAGCGCTTTCGCATTAGCCGAGATGGGCAACTGACCAACCCAGTACTTAGCATCGGGGTTCTCGGTGAAGTACTTCTGGACAGCATCGAGCGCCGTCTTAGACTCGGCCTTCTGACGCTTCTTCTGCTCGTCCACAATGCCCTTAGTGAGCTTGTCGAGTCGCTTCCTGAGCTCGTCCTTGGCCAGCGTTGCGAGAGTAGCCTGGTTGAGTGCCTGCTGGGCGTCCTTCACCTCCTTCTCCTTCTCGGGTCCGTACGGGAGGCCCTCGATGATCTTGAGCCGGTTGGAGAATTCCTCAGCTTCGCGCTGAACCTGGTGCGCAGCGTCACCCGTGAAGGCGACGATGCGGCGGATACCCTTGGCAATGCCGCTCTCTTCGACGATGACAAGGTCTTTGATGAGACCTGTCTGCTCGACGTGAGTGCCGCCGCAAAACTCGACGCTATACTTCCGCCACTCTGGGTTCTCGGGGTTCGCCAGAAGTGTGTCGACGTCGACGCCAACGGATACCACGCGAACGGGATTAGGATACGTTTCCCCTGCGAACTACGTTAGCAGTGTGCGTTAGGTTACTCACACACCTCTTTGGTCGACATACCAAACACGGCGCGAACGCCAAAGATTTCCCTCGCACGATCTAGCTCCACATCCTTGGCGTACACCTTGCCGTTTTGCTTGATGTACCCTCTTGAACGGTCCTCGATTTCCTTAAGTTCTGCCAACGTGATGGCCTGGCGGTGACTAAGGTCGAAGCGTAGCTTGGTCTCATCCACGAGAGAACCTTTCTGGTTCACGTCCTCGCCCAGAACCTCGCGGAGTGAGTGGTTCAGGATGTGGGTGCCGGTATGGTTGTTCCGAATGGCACGTCGAGAGAGCTCATCGTACTCGCAAATGACCTCGTCCCCGGCGGATAGAGAGCCTTGTGCCATGTAGCCACTGTGCAAGACATATCCGGAGTATGACTGGACATCCAGGACTTTGAATTCGGCGGCTCCGTCGATGACGAGTCGTCCGGTATCGGCGACCTGGCCTCCGCTCTCGGCATAGAAGTTGGTGGCATCGAGAAGGAGGGAGACAGGTGTGTTCGGGGGGAGGTCCTTGGTCGACTCGATGAAGCTCTTGCCGTCGTAGATGAGCTGCACCTTGCCCTTGGAGTCGCCGCGGACGAACTTGGCCTCGTCGTTGGTCCTCGGGATCTCCATCTGTTGCTCGAGCTCGGCGATTTCGTGAACTCCCAGCTTGGGGAACGTCTGCACGGCGGATTTTACGCTCTTGCTAGCCTCCCTGGCAGCTTCTTGCGCGGCCTTGACCTCATCGTCATCGATGTCCAGCTTGCGTTCCTCACACATGAGCTTCGTGAGATCGACAGGGAACCCGAACTAGAAAAGATGTCAAACCACTGGTGTTTCAATGTCCAAATTGTGCAGGGAAGGAGGGAAATACGCACAGTGTCATACAGGCGCCAGACGAGATCACCTGCAAGTTTCTTTTCGTCGTTCCGAATCGCAGCGGCAGCGAACTTCTCGAACTGGGCCTCACCTCGGTCCAGGGTCCGAGCGAAAGCCTCCTCTTCTTCGTCCAGGATCTCCTTGATGTCCTGCTGTTTCCCAATAATCTCCGGGAACTGGCTTCCCATCTGGTCGACGAGAGCGGGAAGAAGCTTAGAGAAGAACGAGCCGATCTCGGCATTAAAATACTTTCGGGCGTAGCGGACACCTCTCCTGAGCACTCTGCGCACGACATAGCCTCGGCCTTCATTGTTCGGGACGGCGCCGTCGGTGATGGAGAAGGTCAATAAGCGGATATGATCGGCAACCACACGGTATGCCGTATCCACGCCGTCCACATCGTCATCGCCGTATTTATCGGTATAGGGTCGGGCGTGGGTGACCTCCTGAATCTGTTTGAAGAGAGGAGCGAAGACATCGGTGGCGTAGTTGGACCTGGCACCTTGAAGGGCGGCAACGACACGCTCAAACCCCATGCCAGTATCGATGTGCTTGGCAGGCAGAGGGAGCAAGGTCCCGTCGGCGTTTCTGCTCAGGGTCATGAAGACGAGATTCCAGATCTACGACAAGGTTAGCCGTGGGACCATAAAAATGTAACCCAAGGAGGTATCACGCAAACCTCAACAACTGTCGGGTCGTCCTGGTTGACAAGGTGGGCAGCATCACGGCCGCCGATAAGGTCAAGGTGAATTTCGGAACAGGGCCCGCAGGGACCAGCTGAAGATTGAGACAGTCAGCACCAAAGCCTGTCCCGATTATTGCGAGTGGAAGGCAAAAGGAGAAAGAAAAGGGGCGAGAGAAAAAATGGGGGCCTAAGACGAACTGTCTCCCATGGTCCAAAAGTTGTCCTTCATATCTCCCGTTAGGATGGCGCGTTCGGGGACACCAACGGTCTTCCAGATCTCCTTAGCTTCAAGATCGGGCTCCAGGCCCAGCGAAGCGTCGCCCTCAAAGTAAGTCACGTAGAGGTTGTCGGGGTTCAGGCCGTAGACCTTGGTAAGGAGTTCCCAAGCCCATTCGATGGCCTCTTTTTTGAAGTAGTTTCCGAATGACCACGAGCCCAACATTTCAAAGAATGCTAAACGAACAGTTAGAAGACCGTTCCTCGTCTGATGGGAGCGAGAGAGGTACGAGGTACGTACTGTGGTGGTAGCTGTCTTTGCCGACATCGTCAAGATCGTTGTGCTTGCCACCGGCGCGAATGCACTTTTGGCTGTCGACGGCGCGCTTGAGCTTATACATGGGGTCGGACTGAGCGACGGTACCGAGGAAGACCGGCTTGAACTGGTTCATGCCAGCATTGGTAAAGAGGAGAGTCGGGTCATTGTGAGGGACGACGGAGGAGGAGGGTACTTGGTAGAGTTAGTCTGGTGCTGAGGACGACGGTCGAAAGACCGGGGAGGGGGAGACCAAAGAAAAGAAGAAGGAAAAAAAGTGAAGGGAAGGGAGACGAAAACTCAAGTCGGCGCGACAAGGAGAAGACCTACCGATTGTGTGATCCTTCTGAGCAAAATAGTCAAGGAAGGCCTGGCGCACGCGCAGGGCGGACCAACGCTTCTCTTGCTGTCCCTCCATGATGGTCGACGAGGACGATGAACGCGACGAAGACAAAGAGGAGAAAGGACGAGGTGATGATAGGGAGTGGGGTATAATGTGTAAAGGAGTCGAATACGAAGATCTGGGGGGGTGCGAAAAAGAGATAGAAGAAAAAAATAGACGTGGATAAGAAAAAGAAGACGTTCGCGATGGCAGGGTCCCTCGCGAAGAAGTTATCGCGAAAACTCGAAGGGTGGCGATTTTGGCGATTTTGGCGATGTTGCTCGGGTCAAGGCGGTTCAAAATGTGATGTGGTGGAGGGGAATCTTGAGATAAGGATGCCGGTGCCGGTACCTGTAGGTGAGGGGCAATCGGGGCAAATGGGGCAGGTCCCTTGTAAGTGTGGTAAGCGTGGTAAGTGCACCGTGGTTGCTGTTGCCGTTGCTGTTGCTGCTGGTACTCCAGTTGATTGACTTTCCATGGTCGGCGAGGTGGGGGAGGGGCGTAGAAAGTTCTACAAGAGTGAGTCAGAGCTACAAAAGTCGAGCTCCCTCCCCTAATTCCGCTCCCCCTGTTATTGCCACGACCAATGCCAATGCCATTGCCGCTGCTGCTGCCGCTTCTGGAGAAAACAGTGACAGCAACAGCTCCAGCAACAGCACCAGCAACAGCTCCTGTACCCCGATCTGTATCCGTACTTGTACCTGCACCTCTAGACCCTGGTCCGGTTTCGCACGTCCGGGTCCGGCCCCGAACCAATCTCCAACGGCTGCCGCCTCTGTTCATAGTGGTGAAGACGCTGCTGGTGACACTGTGATTGCATTTCCACATTGCATCACACCGTTTTCCCTTTACTGGGTCGGTCCAGAACCCACTCGAATTTTCGAATCCGCTCCCTGCAGCTCTTCAGCCAGTCACCAGTCACTTTTATCAATTACTTCCCCCCGTTCAAAGTCGCAACAAATGGTATCAATCGAATCAACCCCAGAATCTTTCGACCGACAGTAGATTCGTTGCCCGTGACAAGATATACAATTGACGACATAAAAAAGAAAAGAAGAAAAAAAGAAGCGAATCGACACAAAATATCGTTCTTCGCCAGGACGCAGAGATATTCAGAGTGCCAGTTCTTCGTCGGGAACGTAGCACTCTTCCAAGCGAAAGAAAACGAAAAGAGAAGGGGCGTTGAGGGTTGAATAGAAAGGGAAGAAGTTGAGGCGCAAAGCAAAGCTACATGGGACTGGGGCATCCCTCCCTCTAAGTAAACGGGAAAATGCTATTACAGGGGGCGCAATCTCACGCTAATCTGCCTCCACACGCACATGCGTCCTCCAGCAGCAACATGCGACCTGGACAGGGGCGCAAAAGGAAGGCAGAAACCCAAGACAACGAACGACTTTCGAAACGCCTTTCACTCCTCAACTTAGGTATGGTATTTAATTCGAGATCCTCATCAGAACGTCCCTTTGATTATTCGTATTTCCGCTCACACAAATACAAACAGAACAAAATGGCCAAAAGCTCTACATACCCGTCGAAAGTCCCACCCCACCGTCACCAGCCCCGGGTCAATGGCCCCCTCCCCAGGCTGCCGCCCTGAATCCACCACCACCCCAAACCGTAGCCCAAGACGACGGCGACGCCATGCGCGTCGATGACATGAAACACAAAGTCTACATCTACTCCCTCGACGACGAGCTTTCCGCCTCCGACTCGGAACCCGACGAAGCCCGCCTCGTCTTCCTCCCGGACATCGATCGACACCTCCGCTCCCGCCGCATTGGCTTCAGCTCACCCGCTGCCCCGTCGATACCCCGCCCCGTCCCTCCCGCCCCGGACGGCGATTTCTCAGACATGCAGCTCGTCCTGTATCGCGATCCGACGTCTCTCTCTGTTCCCGCCGAGCAGGACGGCGTGCGCAGGGCCATCTTGGAGTCCCGCGCCCGCGCCCGCGCCCGCGAGCAACAACGCCGCGAGAGGGATGGAATGGCTGGCTTCGTCGAGATGCCGCCCCCGACCGATGCGCAGGTCGCTGGCTCATCGGATTCCATGGACGTGGATATGGATATTGATTAATCAATTTACAACTCGGATGTGCGAAACGACCCGTGGCGTGACTATTCACATGCCTCGGGTCGCATTCTCCAACATCACATCTACAGGTGCCCGTCTATTCTCTTTTTTTTTTTTTTTTTTTTTTTTTTTCATGCGGTGCCCTTGTACTATCATAAAGTTAATAGGGGGCTGCTTTAAGCGAGGCGTCGATATGCTTCCCTTTTTTTTTCTGTTCTCCGTCGGCCTTTTTTGGGTGGGCATCGTTTTCAATTGTCCAAATTCTTATCAACATGGATTATGACATATTTTATCAGGACCAGTGTTTTAGACAGTCCTAGGACAGCTCCATACTTGTTTCGCTACGCAGAGAGTGATGATACTACAAATGAAATCTAGTGCAGTGCATTCCAATATATATCAAATATTTATCCATGACCAACCCTCCTCCGTGTATTCTTCCCAACATACCACCCGTCTCAGCCCGTTTGCCTTATCCCTTATTCCCTTGGAGAATTATTATCCCCCGTGTCATCCGCCGTCGTACCTTCCTACTGCTGCTGCTGAGAGTGCGACGGCGGCGGCCCAGGAGGCGGCGCATACTCCTGGCTTGTACTCGGCCCACTCTGCTGCTGGGTCGGGTTCACCTTGGATCCGCCCTCGGGAGGCGAGTAAGCCGGCGGCCGGGGCGCACTCGGATCGTAAACGGGTGGAGGCGGCATGCTGCCCATACCGTAGGCGTCGGCGGGACGGTACGTGGCATAGGAGTACGTCGCGTTGGGTCGGGGCGCCGGGGCGTATCGGGGGTCGATCTGGGCCAGCACGGTGCGCTTGATCATCCAGCGGTGGTACCGGAGGGGGAGGAGACCTTTGCGGATGCGCCGGGTCGCGTGGTAGTAGCCGCCGAACAGGTAGGCTATGATGAGGGCGACGACGCCGATGAAAAGGGCCCATCGGACGGTGTAGCCCTCCTGTAGGCAAACGACATGATGTGAGAAGGGTGCCGTCCACGAAAATCAACGATGCAACAAGAAAGCAACGTAGACAAGGCGAGGTTGGACCGGGATTAAATTAGGAGGAACAAACGTACCCTACTATACCACCAGCCACCACCATTGTCATCTCGGGCCTGTAGGACCGCTGCCGCCCAGGCGTCATTCATAATGTGTTCTCTCGTGTTGTAGAAAAGGAGTAACTCGATGAAGTGAAGGGAGAGTCGAAAGGTAGTTCGTTTTGTCCTTGATTCAAAGCGATAGGATAGGAAAGGCCGCGAAGGTTGTAGTTAAGAAGCAGCTAGATGTGTCGCAAGATACTCGTCGGGTGAAATAGGGAGGGAATGATTATTCTGGAAGCGATCGATCGTTGATGCAAATGGTAAGTTAATTGTGATACCCAAAGACTAAGGGGTTTTCGCGAGGAGAAAGAAAGAAATGAAGTATTATGAAGTACGGACGGGGTACGAAGTAGAAACAAAGGGAGAATGCCCAAGCAACTGAGGAACCATCGAGACGTTTCACTACCTTACCCGCTTGCGTGGCCTGCGTGTGGGGACAGCCACCTACCTTAAGGTAGGTACCAGTATCTTGTTCGGTTCCCGTGACTTGCATCGCCTCACCATCGGCGTCAACACTTAATTATTAGGCCATCTCTTCATTAGGTATTCGGCTCCTCCCGAAGTCACGACTCCACAAGCTAATATGGATATATGTATCCACTTGAGACGAGATAACTGATTACAACTACCGAACAGCTGCTTCCTCGAAAACATAGCCTTAATGTAGGTCTCACTATCTTCAAGGGGGCTTACGGATAGGGATACATGCAACGGGTAGAAGCCCGTTGTTAGGACATGAGGACCGATGTAAGACATTGCTCGGTCAGGGGAGAAACAAAAATGACAACACGCTGTTGTATTAATTGAGTTTGCTGAGCGTCTAGAAACTTTATGCGCAATAAATCAAATTACTCCAACGCCAATACCAATATTGACCTTCCCGGCGGACCAAGAACCAAACTCTGCACCGCTACCACTTCTCCAGCAACCATCCCATTGCCTCCCTTCGTTCGTCCAAGACAAGCCATCCCGCAGTCATTCAAGTTCATTCCGGCCGGCATCCCTCGGTTTCGACGAGACATTATGAATAAGCAGGACTGTTAAAAGCCCGAGGCACGAGGAGAAGAAAAAAAAAGAAGAAGAAGAGGAAAAAGATGGCAATGGTGTAGATGTAGAACAAGGAGAAGAAGAAGAAAGACCAACTCTAGAACGCCATGACATGCGGTATCTGTAGGAGATTTCAAGTAAGGGCAGTCGGCGCAACTTCACCCCTTGAAATATGATCTTTCTTGGGAGCACCCAGCGCCGCAACGAAACCGTGAATGAAAGTGGTGCAGAGGTATCATGGTGAGGGGTATATTCCGAGAAAGGAGAGAAAAGAATATTCCGAGAAGGAGAGGGGAAAAAGAAAATTGGCAAGATCGAAGCCACAAGCACGCTGTCAGCATGATGCAGACGGACATGAAAATAAGGACGAAGAGCATGAGATGAAAGACACGCCAAACTCAAGACTCAATCTTGGTTCTCTTAGCATCCCCACCGGCTTCTGGCCCATCTGAAGGGCCACTGCCGCTGATATCGGGGCTCTTGCGTTTGGCGCCTGTCGAGACCTCCTCCCTTAGAAAGCTTGGGCCTTGGCCGACTAAGGGGGTCGAGAAATTCAACGGGCTCGGCATCGTGTTGCTGTCGCCACCCCCACGAGAGTACCAGAAAGGATCGAAACTACTCGGGCTGGGTAGGAACTCGCTGTTGAGGAATCGCGAGGGAAGAGCCGACACTGGAGTGTCTATGTTCATATTGTTGTTGGGCTGGAGAGGCGGTCGTGCGAAAGGATTCGGTGGGCCTGTGGCCCCGGCGGAAAGGAGAGCAGAAGCGGAAGGGGAAGGAGGCGGCAATACCATACTGGCCGCTTGCCCATCTGGCCGCCGCGCTGCCGGCGTCGCCCCAGGGTCGGCTTGGTTGCGGGGAGACTGCGCCTCCGAAGCAGCCGTGGCCGTACCTCCCCCGTCAGACGGCTCGTCGGGAATCTCCAATCGCAGACTAGGGCGAGATGCGCCGCCGCCCGTGCTAGAGCGAGATGGGGGTGGGAACTTGTCTGGAATAGACGACACGGAAACATTCCGGCCCAGCCCGCCTGTTCGCTTGGGCCGAGGCGGCGAGGCAGTAGCAGTACCGTTGGCCCTGGAAACAGCGCCGACATCGACTGACTGCGACCGGGCGTCCGCCTTGGCAGCGGCAGCAGCATCAGCCTTGATGGCGGCCTCGGTCTTCTTCTTCGCAGCTTCAGCTCTCGACTCGGCAGCGGCAAAAGATGCGAGGTGCTGAGACAGGATGGATCGGTTCTCGTCAATGGGAGTAAAGATACTGTGGTGCTTGCGGGTGGGCCTCTTGATGATGCTGTCCGTCTTCAGCAGCGATAGTTGTGGCGGCTGTTCCGAGTTCTCGCGCTTGATTTCCATGGGTGCAGGCATGGAGTTTTCGTGGGCCTGCTGCTGCGATTCCAAGCGCTGCGGCTGAGGTGGGGGAGGCGAGAAGTGAGGGGCCTGATGCTGAGGCTGCTGGGGTGGAGGAGGCGGCGGTGGTGGGTGTTGCTGATGTTGCTGCTGATGTTGCTGTTGCTGCTGATGTTGCTGCTGCTGCTGATGTTGCTGCTGCTGGTGTTGCTGTTGTGGCGGCTGCTGATGGTGTGGAGGAAGTTGCTGCGGGTGGGGTTGGGGGGGAGACGCCGAAATCCGCGATACATGGGGTGCCTGATGGTTGTGCGGGTAATGGGGGGGATGTGAGGACCGTCGCTGGTCGTCGACATACTGTTGCTGCTGTGGTTGTCCGTGCTGCGGATGGTTGTTTGGAGGATATGCATAGGGAGGTCCATGGTGTGGCATGGCGTGGGGTGGGTTCTGCTGTTGGTTCTGGGTGTTGTAGATGGGGGGACTGGGCATATACGCATAGCCGTTTGGCTGTTGTTGGGCTTGCTGGGGCTGGGGAGGACCAACTTGATGCTGGCTGATGCGTCGAATGTCTTGTCTGGAACCTGGCCGTGAGCCCACGTGCGGCGGCTGTGGGGTGTGACCGCGCTGAGCGGCTGCCGGGTGCCCAGGATGCTGTTGGAAAGGCATGCTGTTGATCGGAGGCGAGACGGACGGATCAGGTTGCCGCATCTGAGCGAATGGTGCTTGGCCAGGGAACTGCGGCGGCACCATATGAGGCTCCGTGGTCTCTCGCTGAGGCGGAGATGCCTCCTCTTCTTCTTCCTCGTCCACATCGTTCTTTCCAGCAAAGTCCGAAGGACCCTTGTGCTCATTAGGTGCGCCGTGCTGCCAGAGATGGACACAACATTAGCAAAGAACCAAGAAAGTCCAAAAAAGAAGGATAAAAGGAAGAAGAAACAAGAGTCCAGTCAAAGGGGAGTCTCACATATTGGTATCGCGTGATCAACTCTCTCATGTCGCGGGATGAGTACTCGTACAATTTTTTATTGTTGCCAAAAATGAAGACAGCGACATCAACAGAGCAGAGAACTGAAAGTTCGTGCGCCTTTTTGAAGAGCCCTCCCTTGCGCTTCAAGAATGTGCTGCGATGATAGTCAGCAAATCTGGCGACCTGGCGGGTTAACCTCCCGACTGGGAGCGGGGAAGCTTACACAGAACGATTGCGGTCATCTTTGATGGCCTTGATTTCGATTTTCCTTCGCCCCATCTTGATTGATGCTGCTTCCTCGGCGAGTCTCCTTCGCCTCGGTGTAGTATATGTGGGATGGAGAAGGGCGCGAAGTCCTATTCGATGCTTGACGCGAGCAGGGCTCTCAGCTGGCGGGCGGTCAATTAGGCACGACTCGGTCTCGTCAGGCGGTGTTTGCGGTCGCAGCTTGTCGCGACGAGCGTCGATAGAATGTCTCAAAAATTATGCAGACAAACAGGTAGCGAGGGACACGAGAGGATAGAAGTGAACAACAAAAGTAAAGAGTCGGAAGAGGAAAGGAAGCGAGGGTTTGACCGGGCACGGTCTGCGTCTTGAAGAAGCTGACAGGAAGCGACTGTTGTGATCGATAGTGGTTAGCAAACAGTCCGGAGATTCTCGAGGCGGGTCTTTAAAGAATAAGAAGGAAAGAAATCAATGGGGCAAGACATACATACAAGCAGGTGTTGATTCCGTGCGGTATGATGCGGTGCGATGCGATGCTACAACCCAGGATAGACTTGGGGAGTGTGTCTTGCAGGTCGATGGGGCTGATGGTGATGCTAATAATAGATGCGGTTGTGTCGAGGTTAAGTGGCCGGGGGACTCGGCGAGGGAGAAGAAGAAGGGGTTGGAAAGGGAAAAGAAGACGGCGGTGGGGAGGGGAGACACCAGTCCCCCAACACACCGTCTCTCGCGTGGCCTTAGGGGCTCCACCTTCCTCCGATGCAACTTTAAGCCTGTGACGGTTTGACCACTAAATAAGCAGTGACAAAGTTTTTTCGTCTGGGGTACCTCGCTGGGGGGCTAATGGGAAAGGCTCTTATTATTGGCCAGGACGTCAAATTATGAGAGGGTCACTTCTAATTACCCCGCAGTAATCTACGAACAAAGTCGAAAACCACACTGTGCATAAGCACACATTATGCCAGTACTGGTACGGTCCATAGCACAGTGCCACCATAGTATCGATACCCTTTATCTCGTTCATTGGGTCGTAAGTACTGGTTTCCACCAAAGCATGTATCTCCTCTTCTCCAGCCCTATCATTCCCAGCCAGGTAAGACATGGCGCTGTCTTGGCCTAGAAAACGAATAATATCGAGTCGGACCTTAGTGCAAACTGCCGCGAAGAAATCAAGATACAACGGCTTGTTTATTATTGATCAAGGTCATATGAATAATTTCCGCTGATAAAAGGGGTGAAAACGAGGGAAAAAAGACGTATGAAACGAGGAACTGGCCAATCTGTTACTACAGCATCTACCTTCCTATGAAATTGGGCCTTTTTGGTGTCGGGAGCACCCCGCGACGCCTGGGAAAACCCCAAATCTGGCCCGCCTATTGGTGCCATCTCGTAGCTTGACGTTGTGCGCCCGCAATCTTGGGCGCAGGAACAGATCAGCATGACATCCCATCTCGTCTTCGCACAACTCGCGAGGTGTCGTTGGAAGACGGGACTACGCATCTGTCCTGCATATTCAATCATGGAAATCGTCCAGTCTACACACCATTCTATCATCACTGCCTCATCAGGATGGAGTACGCTCACAAGAACCATTGTCCAGTCATGTCTGAGACTTTCTACCTATGGCGACCCGCAGCTTTCCGAGTTTGATAGTCACCACCTGGTTCTACTTGTTCGAGAACCTTTTTCTATGCCACTTTCATTTGTTTGCTTCTGCATTTAGTTTGCGAAGTAATTACACACTGGCCATGTACGTTCCATCTACCAATTACCACTACCTTACCTACTCGAGAGGCAAGTAACCCACGTTGACACAACCGCGTCTTTGGCCCAAACAGGAGCGCGGACAAGAGCCATCTGCACGGTCACGTCCGGGTGGCCGTAAATCCTTTGTCCTGTTCTTCCCCTCCATTATTCTCTGCCGAACGCATGCCACGAGGTAGGTGAAAGATGTGCGGGAGATCGCTCGGCTCAGTCGGCGTGGTCTGCCCCTCCGTTTCTTTGTAGATCATTTCTACCGCCCTCAGCACTGCCCCGCGAAACCAAGAGCACATTGCAGGAGTTGAATACAGGTACCCACATCAATCGGCCGAGAGCATGACACCCACATTGCCGACAAGTCTGCTACTCTAATTCTAGAAACGAGTATCGTCACGTTGATAACACCCCGAAGAACGAGTCGCGACAGGTTCTAGTGCAATTAGAGTCCCCAATGCTTCTGCCCAAGATATGACTGCTTCGGACGAAACAGTGTGCACCGTTCCCCTGGGCCGTAAGGCAAAGCGAAGTCCTCTGCTAGATCCTTGGAAAAAGATGCCGTCGCACAGGGCAACCAGTCCCATTTTCGATGCCGGTTCAACATGACCCGGCCGGCTGTATGTAGGCGCACATTCAGTTTGCAATGCTCGTTCTGCAAGGCTTCCTGATCGACCTTTCTTCACTTTGCCACCTCCCAAGCGTAATTCATCCACCCATGCATGTTTACTTCGAGTTGTCTTACCACACCAACTACCTGTGCATCTTTACACCGTCCTTACGCGACGTCATCTGGAAGCACCCAACATCGCCTAACAGGAAAGGAAACGACACGAATGGCTCTGTTAAGCGCCGCGGCTCCCACACCGGTGCGGTCCGATGAGGCTGTGCCAGCCGCGTCCACTCCAAAGAGGTTCGAGCCTCCAACATATCACCGATGTGACGTGCGACTGTACCTGCAGTACACTAACTCATAAAGTGTGTATGGAGTGCAGAACAAGCCCCATGTCGTCCCATCGTCCCTTTGGTTCCGACCAGGTGGAAGAAGAAAAAGGGAGATGGCTGTTAGCATCACCCGCTCCAAAGGAACATGACGTACCCGATTGGTGCAGTTGTCGATGATACGTTGTACCGACTTGGTGCGGTGCAGGTGCCGACAGGTTTGTTCTAAAAATAGGCTAAAAATAGAAGCAACTACATAGGTATCGACTTCGGCCCGCACCAACGGACCATCTTCGATGCACGAACCACCCCCGCGCAACACGCATACGGTATTGGGCCAATTAGCTCGCCTGTTGGATGAGCCAAGCGGGTAAATTACTGCAAGCCATAGAACGCCGGTACCTATCCTAGATCTTGTGAGGTTCATGCTACGTACAACGTCCTCGAAAGAGCACCAGACGTGTCTCGATATTCTTCCCTCCCCTTTCCTTGATGATATCACCCGCGCGCACCACTACCCTTTTGCCCTGCCCCGACCATATCCTGTACTGTCCGTGACTGATATTTGGCCATTTTCCGTTCCTATCTGCTATTCTTACCTGTTTTCCGTTTAACACTCCTCCGCTTCTCTTCCCCGTTAAACCTAAAGGGAAAGGGTTGTGTACACTGTCCATCCGCCTTGCTATGGGCCTTCTCGCGGCCTCGTTCTATATCAAATGACCTCACCCAATCCTTCAGACTGGTCAGGTCACGCTGGCTTCCTCCAAGATCCCCCAATCGGTACAACTTACCCTTATTCGAGGTCAGTCCCTTCCGCGCTAGTGTTCTTCCTACACGCGCGATGGACGGCACACAGCACGGAACCATCCGAGAGATCCATATCGAACCGAGGGGCCCCATCAACCCTCTCACGTCTTTCGCGGATGAGATATAATAATAATTCACCAGAGAGCAACATGGTCAAGATTTGTGAAGCGAAGTCTGGGTATTAAAATGCAGGCATACTCTCTGAAGAAGAAAAAAAAGAAGAAGAAGAAGAACATGTAAGAGATGTTGTGACCAGTCCCCCCCTTGAATCTCAATGACCCCTCTAGGTTTTCCGGGAAACGCCAAAATCGCCTGCCATGCCCTGCCTGATTGCCTCTGCGAGCAAGATTCAGTTTTGTCCCCCTCACACCCTGTCATCCCTATTGCGTCCATTCCAGAGACATGCCCACTTATCTGACCATGCTACCTCTTATCGGTGAGCCAGCGTGCCCGCATCCGTCCTCGCAGCCGTTGTCCCGACATGACCTTCTTCCGCTTTGCCGAGCAGGGAACCGAGCCGCCGCATGAACATGCTCGCGTGGTGTAGGATGAAGATTGCGAATCGGCTCGGTTTACTTACTTTTCCTCCTTCTTCCGAAGCGGCCCGAGTCAATGGCCGAACAGAGAGTTATTAATATACAGTAAAGCTCATTACTTGTGAGATACTCGTCTCGTTGATTGAATTGTTCCATTTCGGATCTGCTCACGGAGAGCCGGCCGCTTTGTTCGCCGTTCCGGTGAAGGCACCGAAACCTCCGTGGTCGGCCGCACTACCATCTGCCTTCATCGTGCCATTAAGCATGGGGCAAAGCCTTGAAAGAGGTGGGTTCGTTAGCGTAGTTCCTGTGAAATCCTGGAAACTGGACGAGTATCAAGAAAAGCGGAAAGAAAGAGGAATAGGCATGTAACGGAGCAGGTCGAGCCCTCGAGAGTCCGCTTGGACCGAGGTGCCGAGGTGCGTAGTTTTCCCGGGACATGGAAGTCTGTGTCTTGAAGGAAGTTCGGTTTAAGCCCCGTCCCTGTTGCCCGTCTTGCGCCCGATTCTATGTCGACGCATGCTGGTTATCTGGCTCGCGCTGGGTAGCGAAATGGACACTGCGTCCACGAGCCGATGCCCTGAGCCGTGACCGTGGTTGGCGTCGAGGTCGGACCGCGGGTAATCTAGGGCCGGGAAGAGACTGGGGTTCCAGGCCTGGCAAGCGAACCGCCTGCGAGTCTCTGCGCTTGAAGCGCAGCTGCGCGACTCTGAACTTGAAGGGTGGGGTATTGAAGGGAGGGGGTAGATCTTTGCGATGCTTGTACTTGGGGTCCCTAAATTCCGACAAGACGTCGACCTTGGGCCGAGAGGGAAGATCAAGAACAGAAGTGAGAGCCGACGTACTTTTTATTGGTCTTGATGTGACCGACCTGACCACAGTTGTTACATTTGCGGGTCGTGCCAGTGGCGGCGGCGGCGGCAGCGGCTTTGTCTGGCTCGGGGGAACCCGCTTCGATGCCGGTCTTGGATCGCTCGACGCCCTTTTGGGACTCTCTGGCCTTTCGGCGCGCCTTGTTTCTGTGGAGTCGGTCGAGCTCCTTGTTGATTCTGTAATGTGGTTAATGAGCAGCTCAGGGTCTACTCCGGGGTAATGCCTACTCAAGAAGTTTGCGACGGTCTTCGGCCGTGCGTCCGGTGGGCAACCCTTCGTAGATACTAGAGCAAGCGCAATGTCAATGGGGAAAGCCCAAAGATGGATCTCCAACCCCGACAGGGGGTCGAGAGGGTACGGGGGTATCTTTTCGTACTTCAGGTCTTCCAACTCCTGCTCCCTCCTCCGCTTGATGTACCTGTCGATAATAACGGGATCGTCCAGAATGACGGTGCGTTGTTCGCGCTGTCCATCTTCTCCCACGACTTCACGAGTGATCCGAAGCCTCTTGCGTTGACTGCGACTAGTTGAAGTCAAGCCAGTAATCTGACTTGCTCCCTCGTCGATGTGGGCGGGTGTCTGAGAAACTTGGGTGTTGAATCGCTCATCTTCGTCGGCGGGAGGAGGCACTACGAGGGCGTCGTCTTTCTGGGCGGGGTCTCCGAGGGTGAACCTCTGCTTCTCCCAAATCTCGCGGATACCTTTCTTGTACATGGCCTCCTGCTCCTTCACGTTGTAAGCGTGACCGTTATATGCTTTGCGCATCGCGTCAGGGTGCGCCGCCATAGCATCCGCGGCAGTCGTGTGAGAACCGCCTTTCTGGACAGTCTCGATATAACCGCCCTTCATAGAGGTGCGGATGAAGCTAAAGCCGAGACCGCGGCCAGTTGGGTCGCCCTCGCCGTGTAGCTTGAGCATCGCTTTGCCAGCCGAGGCGTCGATGAAGGCTTTGGTGGTTTTCCAGGGTGCCATCCTGTCGGCAAGCTTCTCTTCGCTCTTCTCGGCAGCCTTCTTGGTTCCTTTAACAGTGGCCGTCTTATCATCCTCTTCATCGTCGACCTCGTCGTTCTCCTCCTCCAGATTGACATTGTCAGGATCAAATCCGGCGTCCTCCAACATCTGCATGCCGACCTGCATGCCGTCGATTAAACAAACATCCTCCGGCTTGATCATGGCCCGGATTCCGGCCTCTTCCATCAATGTCTCACTGGGTCTCAGCTTCCACTGGCCCTTATCGAGTTTGGCGTAGACCAGGAACTCCTTCAACTTCTGCCGATTCTGCGCGTCTGTTGAATCGGCAATGTGCTTGGTAATGTCTGACAAGTTCACGACATTATGGGTATTTTTCCTCATCATGCGGTACGAGATCATTTTGATCCTGTTTTTGGAGGCATTCGTCACCTTTCGGCTGTGGGGCCCCGGAATTTCCACGGATGGGAAGGTCTGGCCAACAACGTAGAGGTGGTCGATGTTGTGGAGATACCACTTGGAGCCTTCCACTCCGGTGGAGCTCCTGACGCAGAGGAAATCAGTGGACCTAGGGGTGTGCTCGAAGATGGGAGCGCGGTACATCTGGTTGAGCAATGTCGGCGTCACTTCGCCGGGGTTGACCTCTCCAAATATCGCAAAAGGTGACCTGTCTTCTGGATGCAGGATGTGAGACTCGCCCACCTCCAGTTTGGGTGGTGTCTCTTCCTCGTCCACCTTTTTCTTCCGGTAGTAGTTGATGACACGGTTGCCCATGCCGAAGTTAGAAAGCACGGGGGGAGTCCGTTCGCAATACTCGAATAGGACGGCAGTCGCATTGTCGGTAAGGCCTAAATCCTTCGACCATTTAAAGACTTCATGCGGTTTGCCTTTCTTCGTCTTTCGCTTGTGGTAGGCCAGCTTCTCAAATCGGATCACCTGCTTCTCGTGCTTGCCGCACTTGAAGTAGGGTCGGTGGTAAGGGTTGTTCCGGACGTCCAGCTTAACCTTGTAGAAAGGCCAGGTAAGACGCAGCGCAGGCATGCTGTGTTCGACGCCCAGGTTGCCAAGCGTCGCTCTGACTTTGTGCTTGTGATTCTCCTTAAGAAGTTCGTATGCATCGTCATTCGACAGGTTGAAGCGCTTGAACACGTCCGGCCTTGTTTCACCATCAGCCATACGAGTGAGAGGTTCTTCGGTTCGCTGACGCTTGGGCCCTCGCTGAGACTCGTTCTCCTCCAGGAGGAGATACGGATCGTTCATGTCAAGGAGAACCCGCTTCGCACCACGCTTGGTCATGTCTTGGAAAGAGTCGAACGAAGGAGCGGCAAAGCGATAGATATCGGGGAGACCGGTCGGAAGCGGCAGCTTGGGCTTCTTACGAGGAGGAGCAGCGACAGCGTTGTCCTTATTAAGAAAGAGGTCGTCCCATTCATCGTCAGATCCTTCGTCGTCGTCGTCGCCGTCATCGCCGTCGTCGGCAGGTCTCTTGTTCGACGTTGGCGCGGCGGCAGACGCATCGTCCTCGGCTTCTCGATGAGCCTGTATTTTGCTCTCGAACACCTTCTCGGTATGGTCGACTTGCATGAGCCAGTCATCGCAAACCATCTCGATATCTTGGAGAGTAAAGCCCCCGACGGTCTCCGAATCCGATTCGAGATCCAAATCGAAATCGTCTTTGTTGTCTTCGTCATCGGAGTCTGGCGCGGAGCAGTCAACGAGGCCCTTCGCCTCGGCTTCGATGAGTCTCTGCTTGCGGCTTACGGTGGCAGGCCCTGGGATGCGGAACAGCTTCTCCTGGTCGGGCGCGAGATCGAGAGTCAGCTTGCTGGTGATGAGTGGCTTGGCCTTCTTGGCCGGACGTTTCTCTTTCCGGTAGGCCTTCTTGGGGGGGAGCAGTTGGTTCCACTGAAGGACGGCGCAGTTCTTGAAACCAGGGAAGGCTTGTTTTACGAATGCCTCGTAATTGTCTGGAGGGGCAGGGATGTTGGGATCTTGATTTGTGGCAAGGGGCTCGGGGCCAGAGTCGGAGTTGAAGTTGATGCCCGAGAAGGAGTCTGGGCCGTCGGGATCATGTATATGGGCACCGGGTGAGGTGGCACTTGCAACGGGGTCGACAGGAGAGGAAGGAACATCGCCATCGCCAAAAAGATCGTCGGTATCATTGCTGTTGTCACCGTCGTCGGTCAGACCGGGAACGGAGAGAGAGGTCGCCACATTGGGCTCCTCCTCTTCAGGAAGATCGTCATCGCTGATGTCTTCGAAGTCCTCGGCATCCGCAGCTTTGTCTGTCTGGTCGAAAGGGGTATCATGGTTGAAGTCGATACCAAGGTTGCCTTCGCGCTCGCCTCGTGCCAGTAAGTTCTGGATATTTTCATCGTCTGCCGCGTCCTGTGCCTTCCAGGCTTCCTCGTTGAGAGAGGCGAAGTCGACGCCGGGGGAACTCATGGTCGCAAGAGGATGAGACGATGGACCTGCGTCGCGATACGCGCAGGCCCGTTGGCCGTCCCCTTAGACGCCTCCAAGTTGGGCCACCGAAGAGACGCGATAAAGGACCATGCCTTTGTACCGGCGTCACTAAGGGTCGTAGAGAGAGGAGGTTGAGGGGGGAGGAGCAGAGGTAAACGTTGTGGGATGTTGAGGTTGCAACGGCGATAGCTGCCGAGCCTTGTGGAGAGAATGAGGGAAGGTTCAGGTTGCACGTTCGAAATTCGTATGACTGGGACGGATGTCTGCATGAATGCCTCAGGCAAGAATAAGTCAGCCAATCATTCTCTTGGGGTACGATATTGCATCCACTCTGCCAAGCCACCGTCTGGGGTCGGTTGTCTAAGGTAAGGTAGGTACCTAGGTATGTGGCGCTCGAGGCGGCAAGTACGGGAGTACTTTGTAGGTATGGAAGTTGTTGGTCGAACGACGACGTCGTTGTCGCTATTAATTTGACGTACCTTCCGGTGCTAGCAAAGTGGCACTTCGATTTTCCTTACCTGCGTCTGATATGCATATGAAAGATAAAATGGGCTCGAGAATTGTATTCAGTTCTGTTTGAATCTGGAAGTCGTGTGCGTATATCCAAGGAGTTGGTTTGAGTGTAGAAGTGAGGTGAGATGCTGAAGAGGAAGTGGATAAAGGTTTGATAATGAATTTGGGGGAGGGGGGGGGGGTTGTTTAAAAAAAAAGAGAGAAAGAAAAGTAAGTCGAGGGGAAAGGAATAAAATATGAAGCAGACCTTGTCTCCACAGAGGTGTGTGCGAGAAGCAATGTAAATACGGATGGTGGGTTGATGAGATAGATCGAAGATCAAGTTGACAGTGGCTTAAAAGATGTGTGAGTGGCGGTATCTACGGCAAGTATGCTCGCTTCCGTGATTGCTTTGCTGGAGCTGCGTGGGCAGGGCAACAGCGTACCATATGAGATGCACTTACCAAGCGTATCCGTACATGATCCGACTCCAAGAGTACCTACCTTAATAACCCCGAGTGGAATCTGAAATACAACTACAAGGGAGCAGTAAATACACCTGCTCTACCAGGTAGCTAAGGTACGCCAGGACTAAAGAACTTACCATGACAGTTGTATATGTCGTTACTTAACATCTTCAATATTACGTGCTACTGGCAGAATTTACCCAAAGTTGAACCAGGTTCATGATTTATCACACTTCCATAAGTTAAAGGTTCCCTGCATAATATTGCAAAGCGAGTGCATGGCGAGATCGTTCTCCCAAGTACAACATGTCTGCTGAAATAGTAGATGGCCAGTCTACCATGTACTTTCTAAGGGCTTGTTGCCAAACCTAGAGTACGTATATGTCAGTCACCAGACAGGAGCCGGTCTTCGGTGACATGAAAAGGCCTTTTTTCTTCTACATCTTTGGTCCCCCAATGATACAAATAACAATGAAGAGCACCGAGTCCCAATCGCAAATTCGTCCATAGGACCTGCGAGAGTCCGAGGCTCTTCATATACCGCCTCTGGCAACTCCATACGCCTGCTCCAACGGATCGTCCAGCCCTCACAAAATACCCCATGTACAAGTAAGCATCTGCCAACCGAGCCTACTTTTTTCTCTTTTCCTTCCTTCTTTGTCTCTTTTGCTTTCTTGGCCGAGCCGCCGCCTTAGCTCTACTTGCAGCGCTTCTCCACAATATTAACACCATTCTCTTCGTACTCTTTGCGTGATATCCACATTTGGTGGAAAGTTCCCAAGCTCGCCAGAATGCTGCCTCCGATCCAGGCACCGAATCGTCGCTCCGACGTCAACCCAGCCGCGTGGATCTTAATCTTAGAACCGGGATACATGGTCATGAGTTCATTGTTGAGCCGGTCGTTGAACCCATTAAGTAGGCTCGTGCTGCCGGTCACAACAATATTGCCCAAGAGATTCGGCCGCAGATCCACGTCGACGCCGTTGAGGGCACTCCGAATGAGCTCGGGGATAGTCTGCACCTTGCCCTCCTCGCTGCCACCGGCACCGCTGGGCGGCGTCGGGAGTGCAGCCGCCTCGTCCCACATCCCCTCCGAGACGCGGTAGCGTTGGTCGCGCCACATTTGGTTCGCGCCGTTGGGGAACTCGAAGACGCGGCCGGGCTGCGAGCGCGCGAGCTCCTCGTTCTGCGGGTTCAGGAGCTTCCCAGGGCCGCGCCACACTTCGACGACGGATTCCTTGAACTCGGTGATGACGCGCTCCTCCTCGTAATGCCGGAAGGAGTCGTTGATGGGATAGCCGAAGTTGCGTAGCTTGTACTGCGCGGGCGCACCGGCGTCGACGGGCGACTTGTTCTCCACCATGAACGTGGGGACGAGGTCGATCCTGGGCTCGGACGAGTCCCACATGCTGCGGATTTGTGACGAGAGCCAGAGTCCGCCGATGGGGGACTTTTGGATGGAGCGCTTCAGACACATGCCGTCGTGGATGGCCGAGACCGACGTGTTCGCTCCGCCAACGTCAACAACGAGAGCGCTAGGCTTGCCTGCGGCGAAGGCGGAGAGGACGGATGTTCGGCTTAGCCAGAAGGCGGGGCAGCCCCAGTGCTCCATAATGACCTCGATGGCCTTCTCTCTCGACTTGGTGGAGTTCCATGGCGCCTCGGTCATCAACAGAGGGTTTTCCTGGAGAGACTTCTCCTGTTCCTCAACGTCCTCCATGCCTACATCGCCCTCGGCGTCGCCTCCTTCCTTGGGATCCTTGGGATCATCGTTCAGGCCGTTCTTTGAAGGGGGTGTCGGTCGCTCGGGCTGCAGTCGGTGTACCAGCATGTATTCCCACATTTTGACCGCGGTGTCCCAATCCTCTACGACGCTATCGCGCGACATGTAATTACGGACTTCGAAATCGGGCCGTGGGATCAGGCATTCGTCACCGAAGAGAGTCGTCGGTGGGTCTCTGTTCGTAATGCGACCGTAGAACGATGGCACGATGCACTTCGGCACATCCTCGCCTGCGAAGCCTGCACGAGTGTGGCAGTATCCTGGATCGAGAACCAAGGCCGAAACCTCATCTACAAAGTGAATTAGCAAGGAAACGAGAACCCCCGCCTGGAAATACAGTAGGAACACGCGCTCACCTCCTCCGTAAACGTCGGTCGGCTGAGCCGATGACGACAAGGGTTGTTGAGACATGGGGGCGCGACTCCAATCGGTAGACGTAGAGTTAGTTAAGAGCTGGAGGGAGATCAATGAAAATGAATGAAAATGATATAAAGTATGGCGCGTAGTTTGTGGTTTGCGACGCGACGTTGCGCCTGGGTTGTTGTGGTGGAAACCGGTCCAGTAAATTACTGTTTAGCTAGACAAGGCTGAATACTGGTAATTACCTTAGTGAGAGAGGATTTCACAGGGTTGGCGGGGGAGGAGCTTTGACCAGCCTTGGTGTGGGTCGTTTCGGTGAGGGCGCGGAAGAAGCATTGGAAAATGACAAACAGGTACGTATAGTAATAATACATGATGTCGAACATCAAGACCCTCGGTTAAGTCCCATATAAGCTTCTTCTTGACACGGAGCACGGTCAGCTCGACTACAGGAGAAGGATGAGTGGAGGAGAATTACTTGGCATTTATTTGGTATGTCAAGATCACCCGGTAAGTCCTATCATGAGGTACATGTTGCACGAAGAGATTAAGAATCCTTCTATCAAGGCGAGGGAAAAAAGAAGAAGAAAAGACAGCGCCGGAATCATACGAAATCATTATTCGTAGTCATTTCTATACCCCATAGAGTTTGGAGCAGAGACATGCACCATCTATTATTATCAATACACAGCGTACTCAGATTCGAATTCCCCCTCCATCCCGTCATTGCAGAGGACCTCGCACACGCCCGCGAGTGGGATATCCATCACCGCATCCGTGCCTTCGTTCCACACATTCTTCCAGTTCAACTGCGGTCCGCCATGTATCCTATGATCCCGATGGTCCCGCTGATCTCTCTGCCTCCTGTGCGCTCCGGTCTTGATGCGGCCCTTGGAGTCCACGACGGCGATCTGCGCCGCGGCGTCCACGACCGTCTCGATGGACTCCAGGGGAAGGGTCAGGACCTCCGTGTTATAGGCCGCGAGGGCGACGTAGATGTATACGAGCAGCATGGTGATGAAGGACGGGATGGCGAGAGCCCACCAGCGGTTCGGGTAATAGTAGATGCCGAGGACGTGGAGAAAGGGCGAGGGGAGGTAGGACCACAGTAGGTAGACGAGGAACGTCAGGCTCGAGAAGAGGTAGAGGACGAAGCCGTAGTATTCGTACGTCGGCACTTTAGGCGACGCGCGCGGAACGGGCTCGAAGTCATCATCCGAAGCGTCTGGGGTCGTCGGCCTCGAGGGACGGAGGAGAGACGTTAGCGAGGGAGAGGGTGGAAGAGGAGTCGGCGGGCGGCCGTAAAATGGCGGCGCAAAATAGTTGTGTTCGACGGTTTGCGGCGCTTGGTTTTTGATAGTATCGCCCTTGTCGGCATCGTCTGCCTCTGCATCGTCGTCGCTGCTGCTTTCGCTGGTGATGGAGATATCGGATTGCATGGTGTCGGGGAAGGGCTCTTGCTCCTCGTCATCTGAGGAAAGCGACATTGTCCCAGCACACTTTCAGTCCATGACTAGACAAGCTGCAGCCGACGTCGCACAGGTCCCGGACCCCCGGGGCGAAGAAACGGAACTTTGAAGAAAACACAGCTGGTGGTGTTCCCGTGATGACAGGGCGTAAATTCAAACAGGGAAAATAAGTGGATACAGGGAAGTGGGCCAAGGTGTGGTGCAGGTGAGTCGGTGAGTACTACTTGTTAATTACGGAGCAAGCAAGATAATTCACAGAACGCATCTTCACTTTGCGTAAAACAAATAATTATGAACCAGCCGCCTTGCTTTCTTGCCTAATCCTATCTGATGAAGTTGTTACAAGACTCTTGACTCCACCTTTTCGTTTGCACCAGTAATTGTTTCTGTTTTCAAAGGGTTGAAGCAGACCATCACCCCTTGCTCTTTTTCATATTTGCTGTGTAACCTCTCTATAAAATGACAGCCAGTACCGATGACGACTTCCGTCACTCTTTCCCCCGTCTCTTGAGCAAGGCTTATTATATCATGGAGACAATTGAATGCAGCCGTTAGTTGGGGCATCGCTGCCGCCAGACAACATGCTCTAGAGGTCCTGGTGTCGTCCTGGTTTCCGTCCTGGGTTCCTATCCTTGGTCACGACTCTGGGTGGACGTTTATCCTAAGGTAGTCTTTCCCCGTCAGGCGCCCGGTGAATCCTCAGTCTCGGTTCCACCGCCGTCGATTCGGAGCCTGGGTCACTGAGGGGGGTATGGGCTGAGGCCGCAGTCTACCACGATGTTGTGCCCCAAGGAACGACGCACCCGCTGGGCGCCGCGGCGGGTTGAGAAGATGCCAATGGAATGCATCTACTTCCGCCCCAGTGGCCCTCCTCACCGGATAGTGATCTTCTCCCGCGTCCCTAGACTGACGAGGCCGGTGTTCCTCCTTCGTCCGCTGCTGCCGGAACTGGTGTCGCCTCTCTCGAGCCGGCTTGCGCGTGTGGTGCATTCCGTAGGGCGGGCACGAATGTCCCCCGGACCAGCTCTGGCCGCATATGAAGCACCAATCCTGTCCGCAGTGGCATCTATAGAGTTTTAGGCAAGTCAGTTTTCTCTCTCTTCTTTTCAACCAGGTACGGTCCCGACCGCCATCTTGACCGATCATGGGGGTAAAGTCGCCATGCCATTCAGACGCACACATACTTGATATGGTTGCAGCCATCCCGCAGCTCCACGATCCGATGACAGCTTGGGCAGCTACAGAAGTTATTTTTGTCCATGAGGTCCATTAGCATCTCATCCTCCTCCTCGATGGTGCAAGGCCGACCAGGATGCGCCACGGCTTTGCATTTTCGGCACGTCCGCTCTCCACAAGTTAGGCACTGGAGCAGGTCTCTATCCGACAATGTCCGGAAACGTCCAGAGTTGGCACTGCCATCATCCCTGCTGTCGAGAGACCACTTCCTGCGCGTCTCTTGCCGTGTCGGGATGAAATCAGCACAAGTCGGTTGCGCACAGTACAGGCGCTCGAGTACCGGGGTAGCCTGCTCCTCGCGGACCTGCCGCCAGATCTGCATCCACTCGGGGCGCTGCGCCCAGGTCAAGACCTCCTCGGTCAGCGGCGTGCAACACCTCGGCGGCCACATGGCGATATTTTGCAGGCCCATCTTGATGCACTCCCGCAAGCAGACGGCGCACCACCAGTGGCTACACTGGAGCTTGAAGTCGGCCTCCCGAGAGCCCAGGCAGCCAACACATTCCTCGCGTTCGACGCCACCTCTTTCTCCCCTCTCTGCCTCATTTGCCCGAGAGTTGTTGTCGACGTCCTGATGGTCTGCTTCTAGCAACCTTTTCTTCTCCTTGGGGGAAATCCACCGCCCGGGCTCCGGCACCTTTTGGTCCTCCCGCCCCGTGCTCAATAGCCTCCCGATGCCCTGGGTGCGGTGGAAGCCCATCATCGTCAGAAGTAGCTCGAACACGCCGGTGATCTCTATGTGATGGATGCTGTTTGGGTCGACAAGACCAAAGCGGACAAGCAGGTGAAGGACCTTCTCATCGAGAGCCCTGAGTATTCCCATTCCGCGGGACCCTCGAACGATTTCTTTTCTCCTCCTCCTCTTCGTTTGTTGTTTGTTTCTTTCCGTCCGGTATTTTGGTTATTCGTTGCCGGTGTTCCCGTGAAGGACTCAGCACAGAATTGCTATGTCTTGAACCCCCTCCCGAATCCGATTTATTGTAGCTACGGAGACTGGAGAGGTGAATGTGGTGAGAACGTCAGTAGCAGATGAAAGACAATGACACAAGCAAGTACAATATCATCATTGAAACAATAAGAGACATTTCATCGGGTGCTGCAATCGTTGCATTAAGTAGCTAGGCCATAACGTCGTCGGAAGTCCTAGAAGAGTCGAGTTCAATGAATAATTTCTTCGTCTAAGTGCCATGTTGATTGAACCTGAAGGACCCCAAAAGTCGTTGACAGACATCTCTACTCGCATCGTCTTTGCCCAGAGCCTTCCAGCTTACAAAGAGCGTTCAATTTCGTCTACCATGTTCGACTGACTATCAAAGTCGGAAAAGGGGGGGTGGAGGGGGAACGGGGTGGTGAAAGAAGACATGAGATAGAAAGAGCCTTGCGTGTCTCGGATTTCCTCTCGTCTGCTATGACCAGGTACCTAGCGACGTCTGGGTCTTTCCGCTCATGTGCGTTTGTCTTCAGATTGTACGAAGATTGAGCGATCGGGCTTGCAATGCGAGCAGGATTAGATTTAAGGCAGCAACAAGATGACGATGGGGGAGAATATTGACAGAATATCCATGTGTGGAGATGCAAATCGCGGATCGACGAAAGCCCCTGGCTAGGCTAGAGATCAGGGCAATTCTGAGCTTTACTCGGTCGTCGGTTCAGTGGGGCCGGACGGAGACGGAAACTGAGATATTGACTTCGCATTATTATTGATAAAAAAAAATTCAAGACCAAAACAAAAATCGATATCTATCGTCCCTCCTGTTACCTGAAGCTTCACCATGTGGGCTGAAACATGACGTTACATCGTCGATTGACGTGCACAGGACAGCCGCCCTCCATTGTTGGCAAGAAAAGAAGCGGGGAGTCCTAATTCGCCCAAGCGGGAGATGACGTTCAACGGGGAAGCGATCCGGAAGTTCTCCCGCAAAGAATGCCCAATACCAATATTTGGTTGAGGGTGGGGAAACCGTGAGAGGATGGGGGCCCACCTAGTACATACAACGTACCTGGTACCTATGTGTACGTCTAAAGTCAAGGGGAGCTGAAAGATGATCAAATGTTCGAAGGTGAGAGAGGAGTGGTTCCAATAATTACCCAAATAGTCAGTCGCGTAGGGTACACAGGATCGGTAGCTGGCTCCCAGGTGCTTGGTTGGGTTCGGCCACGAAAACAGAATGTGACGCCATTGTGCCTGGGGAGATTAGGACAACAACCAATGAAGCTCTGGGTTGTCTGAATCCGGGTCCGAGGATGTTTACTTGTTCCCTGTTTAGGCGGTTGAAGCGGACAAGACGGAAAAGGGAAAAGAGAGAAAAAGAATAGAAAAATACCCACTGCACTAGTGTCCAAGTTGCATGGGATTGAAACAAGGGAGGAAGGGAAATGCCTACTAGTAGGGAGACGCTGGGGACCAACAACAGCATGGTTGCCGCAGGGGTTGTACGTGTACGGTACGAATGTCCATGCAACTGTGCAGCTTTGCTCAAACAGAGTGGTGGTAGTACAACGTATTGATGTTCAACCCAGCAACTTACAACGTACCTACAGATACGCATTGATTGATAACGGCAGCCTTGCAAGGCGTCGAAAAACCCCCCTCGCTTCCTTTGTTCGAGACAAGTCAACTCTTTCCATCTTCAAGTTTGTGGACTTGTTATTGTAGTTGCAGTTTTCAGTTGGCGTAAGCCATCGAGCCTCTAGCAGATTCAGAGGCAGGCCGGTAAAATCGGAGACGCTCGAACCATACTACGTATTCACTGGAATATAACTGCGGTCTGCCTGGCTACTTTAAATGCGAGACCACAGTGCACGAGGGGCTCGCCGATTCGATATGGAGAAAGGCCGAATAAGCGAGGGGAGGGAAAGGAGTTGACGCGGGTCGGGGGACCAAGCAGAGAGGTGGACTCCATTTCTCTCATGGCATGTGGGGGTGAAAGCCTGCCTACCTTACCTAAGGTACCTTATACATCGATAAGAGGTTAAATATAAAGCATCGTGAGATGGGCGTTTTCATCCAATTAAGAAGTAACCAAGGCAGGGTGGGCGCTGGATGTCTGCGACGAATCTGACAGCAAAACAAGAGAGCTCCGGTACCCACCAACAATTGTGATAATCGTGGGGTGAGTTCCAGCTCCCCCGCGAGTGCTTCGTAAACTTACATAATGCACGGGCAAACATTTTGGTAGAAGGTGGAAGGGATGACTTCGTATTTCGTACTCAACATATATATACCTAGGTAGGTAATTACTCTACCACACCTACCTACCTTGATTACCGTATGCCTATCCGTATATAAAATCAACTAAAATCAACTGAACGAATAAAGACGGCCAATTACCGTTGCGTAGCAATATCAATGGCCTCAGGGGAAAGACAGTACGCACGTGTGCGGAGTAATACACTAGGTATGCATTAATTGTCTACGGGGAACTACTCGGCTACGACCCCCCCTAGAAGGTAAGGTATGCGAAAAGGGCTGAAGCAAGGCTTTCCGCTCTTATTAAATGAATGCCCTCTTGATCTCCCTAAATAGCACGCGAAAGTGAACAGCGTCACTTTCGGGTACCTACCGAATCGTTGGAGTGGTCCCCCTTTCTTGGACATGAGGTATTCGCAGGTACCTACTTCGTATGATTATACCCTTAGGTACCTTACCTTAGGTAGTTTACCAGTGCCTAAGGTACAGGTAGGTAATCGCTTATTAGGTAGTGTCAACGTAACGGGGAAGGTACCTTAGGTTCGAACTAGCCTGGAACATCCGTACTTACGGTCCTGTTCCGTACTGTGGGAAACACGATGTTCATAGAACGATGGAATGATCGAGGAAGCATTACCTATGACGAGCATCGAGCTAGGGTTCTTCTGCGTTGTTCTTCGTGGGCTTCGCGTAGGTTTTCCATCGCCAACTACGGCTTCTTCCTTTGTTCTAGTTCCTAGCCCCAGGGCTGTACGTCTTGCGTATTTGTACGGTTATCCGCACTTGTATTGACCAGGGAGGGTTATGTAGCATAGGTATGTACTTAGACTGACCGATGTCACTTCTCCCGAGCGACTGCTTCAATAACCGAGGACAACCAGATAAATCCTCTACTTGATTCCTTCCTGATTTTAGCCTCATTTCCCCCCCTCCCCTTGATGTTTTGTGACCTCTCGGGAATATAAACCCCGGCTTGTCCTCAAAATTTAGCATTTTACTTGTGTAGGTGCTGCTGCGTGTCTTGGATGCCTGCTGGGGTTTGCAGGAAGAGACAGGTACCTGTCAGAGACAGGAAACAGGAGACAGGAGACAGGAGAGAGGACTGAAAGGTATCTGTACTTTCTCTGTACGTTTTATATGTCCCGAATACGAAGTACGTAAGGGGGTGCCTTCCAAGGTTCCTACCCCCGGTCTGGGGGCTTTGGCTTTGGGTGGTTCACGATTCACATCTGCCCGGCCGCATCCGCACACGGATGGATGACCTCTTGAACCAACCAGCGCCCAGTTCGCGGGCTGTGGATCACACTTTGCACTCGCTCCGTACCTTCTCCGTACAACGTAAAACCTAACACGTACTGCACTTGGAAGCAGCCCCCCCCAACGACGCTACCGCGCTTCTAGCTTCTACTAAAGGATGTCCCAGTCACACACACACCACTCACGCGCTCCTTCACCTCGTCGACGCCACTCAGGGACCATCACCCTTCGCCGAATGTTTCTTCCCAACAACTCCCATCCTCCCATCTTTTTCAACTCGAATCCCCATTTGGCCGATACCGGGAGAAGTGAGCCGAGCCAAGTAAGACAAAGCACTCCGCGTACTGTCCCGTAAAATACTTTATCACCCTTTTTTTCACTTCCCATCCTCTCCTCATCTTACTGATCCCATCTCCCCATTGTCGTCGTTATTCTTCTCATAAACCGTTTGTCAATATCTGATTTCCGTTGCGTGGCGTCTCGAAGATTGCTGCGGCCGACCCATTGATCAACATCCGTGGTTCGCTTGTCAAAGTGGCCTGTCTCGACAAATCAGCTAGACGGGTCGTCAGTACGGGGCATCTAGAAGTTCGACAGCTCACAGACACGCGACATTGAGATTGGACCGTGCCTGCCGCTTGCATTTTCACCTACTCGCATCGCAGTTGCAGAGGGCCGGTCTTTCAAGTCGAGTTGACGAGGCACCACAGCCACAGCGCTGGGCGGTTCCTTGGTACGGGGCTGTTTATTCTGATATTCTGATCCCTTTGGCTTGCGCGATAGGGGTGCAACAAGCGACGCGATTCGAACAACCAAACTCGTCGCCCTTTAACGCCCTAGCTTCACTTCGCGTCTCTTTCCTACCTTGACACCACTTTTCTTTTCCGCTTGTTCATCCCCCAGGTCCCCAGCGTAATCTGTCCGATCGTCCAGTCATAAGCTACCAACAGTCTTCCCCGGTACAAAATTACTCGCATTGTCCGTCCACCCGCGCACGGGACACAAACCGACCGGTCCCCCACCATACAAAACCGAAGTACAACGTACGAACAGCTCCCATAATAATTATCAAACTCGACATCGCCTAACAATCCGTTTCTTCTGGTCGCATAAGGGGCGCATTGCCATCTTTTATCCGCCATAGTCGCATGATTGCTTCCTATTCTTCCTAATAAACTGCTCTTCAGAGCAGATATGATGTGAGAGGTAAGCTCGAAAATCATCACCCACCCACTCCCAGCCTTGTCATGGTCTTGTGCCTCCTCCCCCCTGTCGCAAGTTCCGCTCCCGCATCTTGGTTGCTCGTCCCCTTGGCCCTGGCCCTTCCCCCTTGTCCCCTGTCGACGCACCGGCCTCCCAATGGTCTTGGCCCTATCCTCTGTTCTACTGTACGGAGCGAGCACGAAGGCCAACTTCTGCTCCTGTCTGAAGTTGCGCCCTACGTCCACCTCATGCCCTAATTGCTAACTCGCCCTTCTGTTCTCTCCTATCGTACAAGCCCAGATGGCTGGTGAGACTGAGAGCCAGCAGCAGAGACCTCCTCTGCTACCCGACCGACACGACGGGCTATCCTCCAATTCGACCCCTCGCATCGTCCCGCTTCCGACTCCTACCATTCAGACCTCCGCACCTTCCCCTGGTGACCCCATGGAGGTCACCACGCCGACCGCTACCACGGCCACGACCGCTGCCGGCGGCCACTCTCCCCGGAGCGCATCGCCTGCCCGGCATCACCACGATGGCAGCACTAATGGCGCCGCCTCCGACACGGCCAAGAATTCTTCTCTCGCCCCCCTATCCTCCGGGCCCAACGACGCCATCAATTCCATGCCGGCCCCGCCTGCCGCCGCCGCCGCCGTCCATCAGCCTAAGATCGTTCAGACCGCTTTCATTCACAAACTCTACAAGTGAGATAATTCACTGCAACAGATGCCTCCAAACGTTCAATCGCTAAGAAACCCCCTCTATAGCATGCTGGAGGATCCCACCATACAACATCTAATATCATGGTCTCCGAGCGCTGAGAGTTTCGTAATGTCACCATCGCCCGACTTTTCGAAAGTACTTGCGTACGTCTTGCGCCACCTCACACCCCCCTTCGCACACCCTGCCCTAGATCACACCCTTGGAAGACGAGCCAGCCGAGCCGGACGTTAACCAGTGATCGCAGACAATATTTCAAGCACACCAACATATCCTCATTCGTGCGACAACTGAACATGTATGGGTTTCACAAAGGTCTGGCCGGTTCTTCCAGTTTAGTTTGGCTGTCCTAGCATGCCGCTGACAGACAGTCGTGCCAGTGAGCGATGCTTTCAATACCGGCAACCCTGACATGGCGCTCTGGGAATTCAAGCATGGCAACGGCAATTTCAAGAGAGGTGACCTAGTGGGCCTTCGCGAAATCAAACGTCGAGCATCACGCCACGCGCTTGTTCATAGAGAGTACCCCAGCGCCAAGGTCAGCTCCTCCCAGCCAGGTACCCCGTCCGATAATATGCCGGTACCCCCGGAAATGATGGATCCGAGAATCAACAATATCGAACACTCTCTCTACGACCTTAGCATACGGCTACAGAGGAGCGAGGAGAACGCGCATTTCATGCAGGTCAAGTACCAGGCAGTCATGGAGACAATGGGAAGGTTGTTCCACGTGAATCAGGAGCTGTCCAGAGCCATTCTGGGGCTGGTGCCAGACCAGGGGCATCCGGTTCATAGAGACAGTAAGTGGCCTGGGTTGGGCTCTGTATTGTCGGGTTTCTGTTGGGCTGGGCGCTAACGTGTCGAAAAGTCATGCAATTGCAAGCCGAGATGCAGCGACAAGCCGAGATGCTTCGCACTATTGACGAGCCCCACGAGCCAGGATTCGGAAACTCACGTTCGTATTTCTCCAATGTTGACAACGCGCCCGTCTCGCCTCGTCAGCTTCCGCAGGATGATCCGAGAAGATCGAACCTGGCCCCTCCCCCGGCACGGGGTCAGGCCAACCTCTACCGTCCGCCCGTCCCATCCGGGCTGTCCAACAGCACGCCCAGGCGGTACGGCTCTATACCGGGTCCCAACACGGCCCCCCAATCACCGTCTCCTTTGCGCGGAACCGCACCGCCGCCGCCACCTCCACACCCACTTGGCCAGGTCGAACCACCCCCTGGCAGTCTTGCCCGACGCCACACGTCCGCCGATATCCGCGTGCATGCCTGGCAGCAGCCGAATCCTCCTCAGTTTGTGTCCGCCGGTCCTCCCCCAACCCATTGGCCGCCTTCTCCGAACCGACTAGCGCCCGAAGACCAGCGCATCCGAGACTCGCTTTCCACCTACTCCCTCACGAACGCATCGCAGGTGCGACCTGGTTCGAGTCCGGCCACTCCACCGCCGCCCTCGCACTCGCACCCGCACCCGCATCCGCATCCGCACCCGCACGCCCACTCGCATTACCCTCCTCCTCCCGGAGCTGCGCCCCCCGCCGCCGAACCTTTCGCCAATTGGTCGTGGAATACGGCCAGTCGGGGTAGTCTGGCGGTGAAGGACAGCTCGCTTCCTCCGACGCGAAGGGGAAGCATGGCACACATTCTGAACCCGACAGATACGGCTGAGCGGGAAAACGAGGACGAGGATCCACGGGGAGACGATGACAGGAAGCGGAAAAGATTACAGTAAGGTGTCTTCTTCTCTTTCGGCATTCGAAATAATATCGGTTTGGGTTCTGAAGGGCTCCACGGAGAGGATTGTGCCGTCTACGTCTTCGGGGTGGGAGATGGCACGTACATAATTAAGACGACACCTATAACCGGATAACTGTCAGGCCGGGACGCTTGACGGGATTTCTGTAATGGGGCAACGGGGGGTACATGCAAAGGGCTCTCTGTGGGAGAGGATTGCCGGATCTTTGGCCACCCTGTAATGGCGGTCTGCTGCAACGGAACGATGGAAATACCCGGCTCATGAGAGCGGTTGCGATGGTTTGAATTCAGTTCTTTGTTTGTATATCTGGGTATCTGGATATCTCGGCCCGTGCCGGATGCCTTGCTCCATTCTTTCAATCGCATGGCCTTCAACCATGTCATATCCAAGCGAGGGTGGTACGGGAGTTGGAAATTCTCCAAAAGGGAGGCTGGTGGTATCAATATATCTGAAGAGGGTCCCTGGAATTGCCCAGTGCCGATCCAGGACGGCGTGTCGGTCTTAACGGCGAATACATTCATCATTGTTCATTTGGGTGCCTCCTTTGTGGATTGATTTATTTGGTTTGGTCCGTCTAATCTTTATATCTTCAACTCCCTGATCCGTCCGGATCCCCTTGCTTCGACTTTTTCTTCTTCTTATTTTTCTTCTTCCTCTTCTTCCTTCCTTCCTCCCCACCGCCGGTCCCCGGCTGGGGTGTAGATGACGACTCTGGAACAACACCGCCGTCCCCCTCACCATCACCGGAACTGTTGATATCCAACGACCGGGTCTCCACATCCCCGCCCGACACCGGCCTGGTCTCAGCCTCCTTCTCCACCACGGCAGCCGAGGCCGAGACGTCTGCTCCGGCAGGAACGGCAGGAACGGCAGCAGCACGAACCCTCTTCCGCCTGACGAGCGCACCGCGGCCCTCATCTTCGTCGCTCTCCTTGTCCCGGGCGGCGGCCCTACTACGGGCCGAAAAGGAGGAAGGGTCCTTCTCGGCGTTCCTCCCGCCCCCTCGCGCGCGTTTGCCGCCGAGAAGGCGCCTGCCGAGCTCCCGCGTGGTGGCGTCCGCTTGTGTAGCGTCTCCTCCTCCTCCTCCTCCTCCGTCGTCCGTCTTGGCGGGGCGGTAGCCGAGCCCGGTGTTGGGGGGTTCGACGCGGAACGTCGCGTCTTCGTACTCTGCCTGGAGCTGGGCTTTGGTTTTGCCGAAGGGATTGCGGGGGTTGGGCCCGATTGCTGTTTCTGGCTGGGTTGGTCTGGCTGTGTTGGTGTTGAGTGAGGAGAAGCTGGTTTGTTTGGCCGTCGTTGGAGGATCGGAAGTGGAGATGGTGGTGTTGGCTGTGGAGGTGGAGGTGGAGGTGGTGGGAGTGGAAGTGGTGGGGCGCTGGAGAGAGGGGTACTTGGCGCGCATGGCGGAAAGGAAGGCCGACTCTTTTTCTGTCGCCAGGGAGATGCGGTTGTAGAGCGTAGTAAAGTCGGTTGTTGAGGGGAGCTGTGACTGTTGGGCAGCCGAAGAAGCTGGAGTTGAGGGAGCCATCGTGGGAGGCTCAAGCTACTAGGACACTCCTGCGACCTTGACTTCTTTGATGTATACGGGCAGAATCAGATCTCAAGTGTGAGAGGAACCGTTATTATGCAATGTGAAGTGAGGACGGGTCATCACCCGTAGACCTTCTGATGATGCGTCGTCGCATAAGGTAGAGCTGTGGTTGCCATTTTTCCAGGCTCGTGTGGAGCTGGACTTTGATAAGATAAGATGTGTGATAAGATAATATGTGTGATAAGATAAGAATGAAGTCAAGCTACCTTATCAACTTAAGTTATGTAAGCTTCCTTCTTCTCGGGATATAACTACCGAACTGGCTCAGTTTACGGTTGGCCCGTGCATCGGGGGTTTTCTCATCCTTATCCTGCAGGCAGCCGAGCCGAGTTCCGGGACACTTTATTCGTACTTCGCACCTCCATCCTATCCTGTCGTTGCCATTCAGCCTCAATCAGGGGTGGTGGTTCGAACGTGGATTGGATTGGTAGAAGTTTACATGTCCAGACGATTTCATTCTTCCCTGTTATTAAGACCTTCGAGATTGGGGGGATTTACCAACTTCAACTTCACCGGCTACCGTCGTTCGACCACGTTTCACCAACTGTCCTCTTTTCTTCCTGGAACTTCGGCGACATGTTATGTGATGCTACCTTTGCGCTCCACGTAGAAGCATGAACCTTTGCTTCCGCGGCGTGACGAGACGCACAGCGAGATCCACAGCAATGTCGAAACAGTGGGTTATGACCCCGCCAGGGCTCCAGCGCCTGCAGGCAGAAATCCAGTTTTCTGTACACGTACGGGAAGGAGGTGATACATACCCTGTGAACTTGAGCGGCCCAAGACCGGATCTCGCAAGCTGTCGACCGACTTTTCACCTTCCTTGCCTCTCCAACTGCGGCCGCAATGCAGCCGAGGTTCTAGGATGCCTTCTAGTTTCACCGTTTTCGGGTTCTTCTGATTTCTTGGACGCTCACCGTTCGGATCAAAAGCTGGTCGTGGCGACGTCTCGGGGGAACTACGGTCTTAAAGAGGGCATGATTGGAGATGAGGAGGTGATGTCGTCTGACTGATGATGCACGATCTGCCTGTATCTGCATCTGCCTAGACCGACACCATACTAATCAGCTGGGGGGCTAGACAGCAGGACCCCTATTATCAGAGTGGTGAGTGTCAGAAAGGTCCCGGGCATTTTGTGAATGTCTGCGAAGTGATTTCCCACATTTAGCCACATGGTCTCACGATGCGAAAAGGGTCTCGTGTGGAGTTTCCGTGGAGTTTCCCCCTGATACCGAGTGTCAGACCCTTGGAAGTAAGTGTATTCTCTCCTCTCCAACCCACTATTTGACGCCTACCACGATGAGAGCCGTCTACCGTTAAAGACGCTACGTGGTAGTCAGACATAGTGATCGGCGCATGGAAGGAAACCTCTCAAAACATACCCACAGGTGGATCGATCCGTTAACCCCCTTTTACGCAGGAGATGAACACCGATGAAACGGGCCAGCATATCAGAATAAGAGGGGACTACGTTTGGATTCTCCAATCATGACGGAAGAGAACAGCTATCTGCTAAATCAGTGGTATCTGCGGGATTTTCATATCGGCGTTGATCTTACGGCCCAGTAACAGCAGCGAGCCCTTACAGACTCGCATGTTATTGCTCCCTGCCTGCTCCGCCGTGGCAAGGAATGGGAAATTCAGGGACAGGATCGACGCGCAGCACTGAAGGCTTGGAGCATCAAGGCAGCAGCTTATCATCCGGTCCGGCCGACCGTTGACCGACCAAAGGACGACCGACCCGTCGGCTGCCGAAACCTCCACCGACCCAGTTGAGGTGGGAAATACATGTGCTTACTATGAAGTTCATGGAGTGTAGCTGGTGGGTATCTTCTGTAAGTATATGGAGAAGAACTATGGGGAATGATACGAATGATACCCACCACTTACCCACCACTTACCCACCACTTACCCACCACTTACCCACCACTTACCCACCGAGACCGCCACTTACAAGTACCTTGGCCACAACTTAGCTCTTTAACGTAGGGGAGTACAAGGATCTTATGTCATGTCGTCAGACTTTTCCCTTTTTCTTTTCTAGAAGAAAGGAAATAAGATTCTTTTTTTCGTCGCTAAGTTCGTCAACCTCTGCTCACCAGCGCCAAGAAGCCATTTCCACCGTTTTGTTTCTCAAAAGCGGACCTTTAACTGGATCTTGACACGATCGACGCTGAATCTCTTACCCTTAGGTACACTACAGTATATCAGGCACGGGCCAATCACGGCTCAACCTCTCCTGGTTTAACGGTTAACACAGCGACCGCCTTACCTATGGGCCCTAGGTCTCCCGACTCCCCCCTTCCACGACATGCCGTCATCCTGGGTTATCTCCAGCCAAGCTCGTCCCCCGGAAACTGGAGACACGAAAACTAGGCACTGGATCCCCTCCGAAGTCTTGCAGCGAGTCGAGTGGCAGATATTGGAAGATTCTTCTCAGCCGTGGAGCCTTACAGCCCGCAAGGCTCCAGAGTTCTCGCAGCGGTCTTGGTCCACGCATCGAAACCCTTGAAACTTTTGAAACGGTGTCGTTCAGAATGCTGCGCTCTGATCCGGGAAATACCCGTAAGGGTCCACATCGGCTGTGTGAAGTGACGGCGCGGCATACGCCGTCTTTGAAGGTCTACAGGCCGCCGTCGAGGCCGTCGAAGGTACACCGAAAGATGAGAAAACATTACGGTGAAAACGGGGAATCTGCTTGTTGCGGTTACTTTTGAACGGATGGCGAGAGGAGGAGGAAAGACGAGGGAGAACGGTGAGCCCAAACCAAGTATTTAAGGGGTCGAGGAGTCCTCCTTGATGACAGAAAACCTCTCCCATTCCCATCCTCATCCTCATCCTCATCCTCATCCTCATCCTCATCCTCGTCCTGATTCTCAAGCGTCTCATACCTCCTGTTGACTCTTTTGTCTTCATCCTCTCATTATTCTTGTACCCAAAGCTACGGTCATCTTTGGCTATCCGTGATTACTCAGTTTCCAATCTTCCATCCTTTTCCCTTTTCCTCCGCCGCAAACCCAAACAAAATGGCACCCTCCGCACTCACTCCCGAGACCTCTCCCGAGCGTCAAGTCTTCCCCACCAAGACCAAGACCTCTAAGCCCACCAAGCCTGTGCAATCAGTTAAGCTCAACGACGGCAACCTGATCCCCCAGGTCGCCCTGGGCGTTTACAAGGCCCCCAACGGCCAAGAGACAGAGGATGCCGTGAGGGCGGCCCTCGACGCCGGCTACCGCCACATCGACTCGGCCGCGCGGTACGCCAACGAGGAGGCCTGCGGCCGCGCCATCCGCCGCTGGCTCGAGGAGACCGGCACGCCCCGCGAGGAGGTGTTCGTCTGTTCCAAGCTCTGGGACGCCGACCATGGCTTCGAGGCCACCTTCGACGCCCTCTGCGCGTCCCTGGCCAAGCTCGGCCTCGACTACCTCGACCTCTACCTCATCCACTCGCCCGCCGAGGACGAAGCGAAGCGGCTGGCCTCGTGGCGCGCCCTCGAGATGGCCCAGAAGCTGGGCAAGGTGCGGTCCATCGGCGTGTCCAACTTCGGCGCCGGCCACATCGAGTCCCTCCTCCGACACGCCAGGGTCGTGCCGGCCGTCAACCAGATCGAGGTGCACCCGTTCTGCCAGCGCGAGGAGCTCGTCGAGCTCTGCGCCCGGCACGGCATCCGCATCGAGGCCTACTCCCCGCTCGCCCGCGGCAATAAGCTCGAGGACCCCACCGTCATCGCCATCGCTGCCAAGTACCGGCGCACCCCCGCCCAGGTCCTCCTCAACTGGAACGCCTCCCGCGGTAACATTGTCCTGCCCAAGAGCTTGACGGCCCACCGGATTAAGAGCAACCTCGAAAGCTTCGACTTTAAGCTCGCCCCTGAGGACATTCGGGCCCTTAACGAGCTCGGCAGGGAGCGCTACGTCACTGGCACCATGCATAAGTCCAAGGACTGAATGGTTTTCATGTGCGGCATTAAATAGCTTTCTTTCTGGATCGAGTCCGGGTCTTCGTAAGTAAGACCTTCTCTCCAAAGAAAGCTACCCCTCTTCACCCCCACATACTTCGTTTTCAGGGCGGTTATCCCAGGATCTATCTGCACATATACATCAGACGGACCAATAGTTGTCGTCTTTTGCTGCATTCCTTGATGGGGGATTCCCACCATTACCCTGCTCTTCTGTCGGGTCGGTCTGCCAGGAAGGCAACCACCACAGGATACGACCGAAGCGTTGCAAAACGCTTCAAGGTTACGACCTCATGACGGCGCCAGGGGCATTTTCTTTTGGTTTATATCGGCGCACGATGATCTGGAAATAGACTGCTCATAGATCTTAAGACGAATAAAGATAAGAGCCAATATTTCTCAAAAAAAAAAAAAAAATTTGGTGTCCTTGTTCAAACGCGTCTTGTGTACACATCCTTTGTCTGTCAGCAGTTCCGGCCCGCTAGAGAGTTAGTAAGTAGCTTTTGTGTCGGACCGAATCCGTGACCCGGTGTCCAGTTGCGACCGGCCTTGGCGCTGGGCCTTTCGGTGCCGAGAGCCGTGCCGTGCCGTGCCGTGCCGTCGTACTCCGATCCGCTCAAGTAAACGACTGGATCCGACCAATGGACCACATGCACGACCTACAGTCTTCTAGTCTAGGCAGGTATTTAATTTCCCTTTTCCCTGTCCCCTTTTCCCTTCCCAAATGCCCTACTCGGACATGGACGGGCGCAACCTCCCGCCGAGGACGAGCAATCCGGGTCGACTATCCGTCAAATCGGCAAGTACCGCCACACAGATGATAGTAACAAGTAGTCGCTGCCGCAACAAGACGATTATCATTAAGAAGTATCGAGTCGACAATGATCCTCCGTCTCTCCAAGGGATCCCCCGACTCGGGGGGATCATTGCCCCTATCTATCCCATATAGTACATTCCCAATTCCATCCAACGCTTGTCCAAAGTCATTCAATTCATTAAAGTGTCCCGTTCCCTTGCTATGCCATGCCAGTCTCGACCGTTCTCAGTACATCTCGCGTTTCCCTCCCCTCATCTCGAGTCCGTCAACGTCAACACATAGGGCAAGTCCGTAGCGTCCATCGGCCCAGCAAGTCGAATCACCGACGTAGCCGACGCTCCGGACGAGGAAGCCGCGGTTCGCAAGCTGGCCTGAGATGACGCGTGATATGGTTGCTTCTGTTGTTGTTGTTGTTGTTGTTGCCTCTGCAGAGGCCACGTCGGCTGCCGCCGCGTCCTCTTGATGCTGCCCGTCGCAGTCGACGTCCGCGAAATGGCGTCTCCTCCCGCAGAAGACCTCGCCGCGTTGGGCGGGAAAGACGTCTGTCGCCGTAAACCGCGCGAGCCCCGGGTAACGGCGCGCGAGGGCGTGCTTTGTGCGCTGGCCGCCGGGCCCGCCTCGAACGGAGGCGTGGTGTCGTCGTCGTTGCCCGTGCTGCTCTCGGTGGGCGTGTCCCCCCCGTCCGCGGCGGGGTCCGGCTCACTATCCGTGTAGACTACGTCGTCGGCGTCGTAAACGGGTTCGAAGACGGTGGGATCCAGCGGACCCATGTTGCGCAGGACCTCGGAGAAGAGGTGCATGAGGTCACGGAACTGTGCGCCCGATAGCGCCCGCGTCGAGAACCTCGCGTGTTCGTACAGCGAGAGGAATTCCGTCGTGGTCGAGTCCATCGGCAAAACCCCCAAATCCGAAAGGCGTGTCAAGTACTCCCGCAGGCCCCTGTTGGGAGGCCGCTGGAGCAAAGCGACCGCGTCGGGATCTAGAGAGGGCGCACCCGCTGCTGTAGGGTCCGGGGGTGCGTGGGTGAGGGCTTTAGCCTCGAGAAGGTGCGGCAGTTCAAACACGACGGGGATGTATTGTAGATTCGGTAGGTCGGGCGATTCGGGGGACGCCCAACCGCCGTGTTCGATCTGGCCCCAGACAGGGGGGCGTGGTGGTAACGGACCGCCCAGTTGCATCTCCACGCTCTTCCGGTCCCTGAGCTTCAGCAGCTGATAATCGTTATCGACAGCTCCATCCTCCTCTCGGCCCTGTTCCTTCTCTCCCGTCCTCTCTCTTCGTTTTTCTTGGAGTCCATGGGTCGATGCAGACGGAGTTGTCCTGTTCTTCGTACTGTGCGTTATTCCCACTTCCAGTTGCCTTGTCTCGGGCGCGCATTGTACCACGCGGGGCCTGGCTTCAAACGTAATGGCGGCACTGCGATCGAGGCCGGAGGTGATCATGTCGTAGACCTTTTTCGGGAGGTCGCCCTTTTCAATGGGTACCCATGGCTTGGGGATGGAGGCCAGAATCGTCTTGTTATTATACAGGCGAAGAGTGTAGATGAATGAGATGATGACGACGGTGAAGCCGAGGGCCGCGACTAGAATCCATATGTTGTATTGCTGCTTATTCTGGTACGCCCTGAAGATGGCGTCGCCCGGGGTGATGAGGAGCAGGGCTGCCGTGAGGACGCAGAGAATAAAGTAGGAGCTGCCGTAGATGAAGCGGAAAACGGCGCGTGGCGAGATCATCGCAGCAATGTTGGTTAAGGCTCGGAATAGTGGATATCGGTTTCTAGGGTCGTGGGCGTGTTGGAATCGGTTGGCAACGGTCTGATGCGTCTGGGTTGCTCAGGCCGTGATGACGATCGATGCGCCGTGTTGTCAACAACGCAGGTGGAGTGCGTGCGGTCTTAGGGGGGCATGATTCATTTAAGAAATCAGAGAGACCGTAAAGCAAACGGTCTAATAACCAAATGAGCAAGAGGAATGAATTAAACATTAGGAGGTTGCATCGCCAAGATGATGGTGATGGATCGGTAACGGACGAGCAGGAGGCAGAGGAGGGACAAACTGTTATGTACTTAATTACTCCACAGGCATTTCCGCCAGCCACACAAAAAGTGATGGCGAGTGGCAGGTGGCAGGTGGCAGGTGGCAGTGCAGAAGCCAACTCGTAGCTTGGAGCCACAAGCTTACCCGGTACATTGCGTGAGGTATAGATAGGTATTGCACCGGCTCGCCGTTTGCCAGACATCACGCTCGATTTGCATCTTTACTTATAAGACCTTGAGCATGAAGATAGTTGGAATTCACATCATTACATAGAGAGAAAATTTAACATGCAGTGATACACTGCCGCCTATCCCTCATACACGCCAAGCTCGCCCCTAACGGCCCAGCTGTGTCATCTCGGGCTGTTTATCACGGCCCTCTTCGGAGCGTTCCGTCTTTGCAGAAGTTTCCGCCTCGGCCGATACCTCCTTCGCCTCCCTAATGTCCGACCTGGTGAGCCGGAGGTCGCGGCTATACGACTCAAACCCCTGCACAACCTCCGACAAGCCCTTCTTCAGCGTCTTCAGCAGCACATCCACCTCTGGTGCGTATTTCCGGTTTCCCACGTCCGTCCAGTGTACGGGGAAGTTCTCCCTGAACGCCTCCAGCTTTTTCGTCACTCTCGTAAAAGTCCGGATGATCGTTGCCACGTCCCTGTGGACATTCCCAAACTTGTCCTCTGACAAGCTGCGCACGGCTAGCAGGCTGAGAACCTCGACGGCATGCACGTGGTGACCAGGCTCCGCATAGGGTGTGCCGAATACGGCGGGCGTGATGCATCGCCGGAAGGTCTGCCGGAAGATCCAGCCCACATACGGATAGCGGATGACCGTCAACGCCCATGCTTGGAGCTGGCTTGTGATCTGCGGCGGGCTCAGAGCCTCCTGCTGCTCCTTGCTGAGAACCTTGTCGCGCGCGCCCTGCAGCGTCTTCTTCGCCAGTGGGCTGAGCTGTGCGATGGGTGATTGTCCGGGCGCCCTGCCCGCCTGGGTCAGAGCCTTTTCCACTTCTCCACGCATCGATTTGGTCGCGGGCCGCCCTCGGAATATCGGCTCCTCCTTAAGGGGCGCGGTGGACGCGGTGGACCGAGCCCTCGGTTCGATGACGGGTTCGGGCTCGACAGCCGGCGCGGGAGCCGGCTTGCCGTAATCGTCCACTCTCGCCTCCATGGCCTTGACGATATCCAGGCAGATAACGTAGATGTGAGACCACATGGGCCCGTCTTTTCGATCGATGTCTTCGAATACGGCCTTGCGCCGATCTTCGAAATCCCGGGCGATCAGAGCAAGTTCCCAAACAGCAAAACACTACTTCTGTTAGCAACCCCGAGAGAAGATCCGATGAACCGCCTTACAAAAGAACAAGAGGAACCTACCCTGATAGACGCCTTCTTGCTCTTTAGCCCATTGAGTAAGCTACCGTTCGGGTCCTTCGAATCGTTCGTGAGCGGTTTCCCATTCTTCAACGGCGCCTTGACCATGAACTTGGAGAAGGCGTAATTGGCGACCATCCACATGGTCGACAGTGTTACCCCAGCGTACAGGCACTGCAGCGCGATGCGGCCCAACCAATAGTCGCGCGGAGGCAGCATGTTGGACTTGGGCAAGTTGTAGAACGGCCGGGAAAATGCCAGCGACCAGCCCCAGACGGTCCGTCGGAAGAGCAATGTGTAGGAGATGACCGAGATGACCCAGACAACCAGGGACTGCACGGTAGCGTAGACGAAGATGGCAGGCAATCTCGAGAGGACGACTTTGAGCGGGTGCGATGAGTCGGCCGGGGCTTTCCTTCGCTGTTCGGAGATGTCGATGCGCAGCTGGTCCTTGTCGAAAGTCATGTGGACGAACGTCTGGGCGATGGCGCTGACGAAGAGATAATACACCACAAAGACGGGTCGCTCGTTCAGCTTGACGCGATCACCGCTCATGGCAATGACCCAGTTCAGCTTGGAATCCGACGGGCGGGACCACAGGTAGACCAGCCCGAACAGGGCGCTGGAAAAGCCGTAGAACAGCCATGCTTCGAGAGCTTGGATGGTAAAGAGCTGGGGGAGACTGTGGATCGGCGACGCCGTAGCCCGGGAGCCAAAGTGATACTGGGAGATGCGGAGAACTATGACCGAGAGAGCGCATGCGAAGAGGAGAGCTGTTCGGACGCCGACGGGACCGATGGGGAACCAGGACCAAAGGACTGTAGGAAGCAAGGAACGCTTGTTAGAGTTGGCCCAACCTGCGATAGTGCAGTGCATTTCAGAATGTAGATAACATACAGGATGTGAGCTCTCCGAGAAAGATGGCCTGGACGTAGACCAGGCCGAGAAGAACTGTCGCAGCAGACGAGAACCGTCTGTGAAGCGCAGGTTGCAGGAAGTCCTTATAGGGAGCTTTCCTAGAAATCGCAGGGGACATGTTGACAGGTCATGATCGAGCGGACCGCGCACAATAAGAGGCCAGACTGAGCTTGAAACCAGGTTGCGTCGGACGTAGTGAAAGTCGTTCGTTGAGGTGTCGCCTGTTTTTTTATCGTCGATGTAAACACAAAAAAAAAATCTCCGAGCAACGGACATGGGTCGCGACGAGCTACGGATACGGAGCACGAAATGCAAGCTGCAGGACCTGGGAGCTTGGAGTCACATGAACACGTGATCGTACCCACACCGTGGCTTGATCCCTTTTTGAAGTCCCCGCACTTTTTTACCACATAGGGATAAAAGTGGGGCTAGTGCGTCAGCCACCGATGATGAAAGCTGCAACGTACTGCCTCCAAGGCAACCGGATAAGCGGCGGTCGCAACAACCATCTTCGACTCCCAGATAACCCGACACTCGTTTTCTGGTCAACGTTTCTGGCGCAATAACCTGAATTTCTTTATTTTCTCGAGCTTTACTAGCGTCAGGCAATCACAGTCACTTCTCGATACACCATCGGAAACCTTTCGCCCAGTCGATTCGCGATCGCCTCGGTTGCCATGTCGTACGACCAGTTATCATCGCTCGAGTCGGGGACAGCCTCGAGAGGAGGCTACAGCGACGACCCGGGGTTTAAACAACTACAAACTGAGCTTATGAACAAAGTCCTTGGCCTGCGACGGAACATCTCCAAGCTCAGCTCTGATGTCGACCTTTTAGGAACGAGGCGGGATACCCCGAGGGTACGCGAGCGGGTGCATGATCTTCTGGAGAAGTTGCGGGAGACATGTAAGGATATTGGTCAGGGTGTCAAGAAACTTCAGACCTGGGAGGACCTCACGGTGCGTTTTTCTTTTTACTTTTCTTATTTTTTCTTTACTTTTTTCTTTTCTTTGCTCCCTCTCTTCTCCCGTGAACCAGGGGCGCCCTTCCTCGGGTACAGTGCCTACACAAATGTTCCTTAGGGGAATCGCTTCCTGACTTGAAATTTGATATAACAGAAACAACAAAAGTACGACCAAACCCGCGTCTCGACCGACTTCCAGAACGCCCTCCAAGAATTCCAAGAAGTCCAACGCCGAGCCCTCGAGAAGGAGCGCGCATCCGTAACCGCCGCGCGGGCCGCCCAAAGCCCCGAGGCGCTCGAGGGAGCAGGCACAGGCGATGAGCACCTGCCCGGCCAGCAACAGCTGCAACAACAAGAGCTGGCGAGGCTGGCCCCGCAGGACGAGGTGGATTTCCAGGAGGCGCTGATCATCGAGCGGGAGGAGGAGATCCGCAACATCGAACAGGGCGTCGGCGACCTGAACGTGCTGTTCCGGCAAGTGGCGCAGATCGTCAGCGAGCAGGGGGAGCAGCTGACGTCGATTGCGGATAACGTGGAGGATGTGCGGGACGACACGCGCGGCGCGCAGGTGGAGCTCACGCATGCGGCGCGGCATCAGAAGGCGGCGAGGAACAAGGGGTGCTGCTTGATGCTCATCCTCGCCGTCATTTTGACTATTGTCTTGTTGGCTATTTTCATCGATTAATGCATGGCGAAGCGTGTCCTTTGGACGAGACGTGCTTGGTGGTCGGGGGAAGTTTTCAGTTCTACTCATCGTTGGGGCAGAGGGGCTCATTTATCATCCAGCCCTCCTGGGTTGAACCTCTTCGTTTGTTATCATGGCGTTGCTATCCGGATGTTACAGGGTGTATATTTGTACAGGGTTTTGTAGCGAATCTAACTGATCGCTCGTGTTTCTACACGATGAGCTATGGAGCCTTTCAGCCTTTTTTTCTTCCGCCTGTTTTATTTCGGAGGCTTCACCCAACCCTTTTCCAGTGCCATGGGAGGTGTGGCAAATGGACTTTCAAAGGGCATATAGCGGTTCAATATCCAACCGTTTAGTTGCGTCCATAGCGACGACGAGACGACGTAGAGCAGCATGCCGGCAGGGAGATACATGGCGATCAAGGGCATGCCGATAGAAACGAGCAAGGCTGCTCTTCGTAGCCGCAATGCCCATGGAGTGCTAGTATTGGCGACGGTTGTGAGTTTGCTGACATCCTGGGTCATATTGAAGAACGCCCGACGGGCTGCGGGCGTCTCGGGAATCAAAGCCCAACACAACGTGGCTGACCATAAAATGGGAAGGATGATATAGGGATCGGGGACCGTCAGGTCCGGAAACCATAGGGTGCCACCGGTCGCCATGCTCGGCTCGAGGAACGAGGAGACATCCGCTGGTAATTGGGCATCTGGGGCTGCGGTTGTGAGTGAGACGGAAGAGTCGGTATCGCTGAGGGGAATGCCTTCAACTGGTTGCGCGGTAGTGGCTGGAACCAGTCCCTGGGACTGCTGCTGCTGCTGCTGCTGCTGCTGCTGCAACTGCTGCCGATGCTCTTGGATATATTGGCCGGATACAAGGGAGATTATGCCGCCGCCGGCGCCGGTCATGCGACGGGTAGCGTCTGTAGCCATAATCCAGGGAGCGATACTGAGAGACGGGGCCCATGCTTTCCAGATTTGTAGACCTCGTTCTTTACAAAGCCGGGCTTGTGATTTCCCCGTGTAAAGGGCGCGAGACAGTTTCTCCTGGCGTCTCAGCTTGTGAAATGCTGCCCATGTCCCGACGATCGGCTGCAGCCGCGACCGAGCAAGGATGATTTTTCTGCTATAAATCTGAAGAGGCAACCGAACGGTAAGGTTGACGCCGAGTGCGAAAAGCGGAATGACGAAGTACCAGGGTAGGCCGGTGGTGGCGTGGATGGCGAGTAGAGATTCTTGGGCCAGGTGAACGCCGGATTCTAGAACGGTGCCTAGATGAAGACAGCGCACGCCGTGGGCGGTGGGTGATGGGTGAGATGAGTGTCTGGGCTGACAGCCATGGTGGGTGGAAGGGCGTAGCTGGGAGAGGACCGGTAGTCTCAGTGAGCCCTGGGTAGAACGGGCCCACGAGATGGACTGCAAGGGGCCTCTCAGATGACATAGAGAGCCTCTATATGAAGCCATGATGGTAGTTGAAGCTTGAAGCGAAGAGTTGACGGGGAGTGACGGCTCAGGGAGTCGTATAAGACGGAGTGAAGGGAGCCGGAGCCCTTCAAGAGGATGATGGTCGTTGGAAGTAGCCGCATGAGATAGGACTCATAGGAGGGTGGTGTGGAAGGAGTCTACCGGGTCTTGTGGGAGAGGCTCGCCGAGAGCTCACATGAGCTGTTCACCGGTACACATTTGAAGTCAACAAATCCAATTAAAGCAAGATGAGAGAATGGAAAAGATAACTCGACCAAGATCAGAGTCGAGTGGTGTAAATCTGTGGTCTTGGTGGAAGAGACGGGAGAAGGAATGTGTTTAGCTTCACAGCCACTTTTCGCGATGTCTATGCTGACTCAGACAGGCATCGATGTGGCTTTAGCGGATGTCTCAGCGGTCCCATTAGGGAATATGACCCATGTGAACCAGAAACCTGGGCTATGACACACACCCCACCTTCCTTCCCCCCTGGTGAGAGCCCGCAATTTGGAAACGACAGAAGTGTCCAAGCTACCTACGCTAGAGCTCCCCACCTGACGAAGTACGACGAAGTACTCATTATTATGCGTACTTGGTACTTTCCACCAGCCAGCATTCACTTTCAACCACTTGTCCTTCTTATCATCTTCCTCTTCCTGCCACCTTTCAACACATTCCTTACTCAATAGCCACCATTCCAGAGACAAACGAAGCTCTGTGTCATTTCTCATATTTTTTTACTCTCTTTGTTTTGTGTTGGCTTCCATGATGCGGCTGTCCTGGAAGCAACATTAAGGGTCTTGGTTCTGTTGACCTTGTGGTTGTACGGCTTCGCTCTCCCGGGCGTGGGCAACGCAACAAGCACATCTACAGTTGGGAGCGCTCCTCACTACCTTATTCTCTGCGCAACAGAGCACGAACAAAAACCCATCCTCCTATCGTCTTATAATTTTGACCAACACCCTCTTTTCCCTTATACCCCTTCCTTTCTACCCCACAAGCGCGCACTCTCTACCGACTCGACACACCACCAGATATTAGCGGTAACCAGGCTTGGACACAGCAATTAGAAGAAGTCCTTAACCTCAACTATTCTCAGTCCGACAACTATCTCAATAGTAAAGCTTTAGACGCCTTTTCGGGAAAAAATAGACAACCCACCCCGTGGGCGGGGATCCGACTTTGATCACGCGTCCTCCTTGCTCTGTATCGCCACAGCACAAGTCAACACAATGGACCTACCGACCACTACCGTGTCCCTCCTAGCAGCAGCCCCCATCCTCATATACTTTCTTCTTCCAATTCTCCTACGCAGCATTGGCTCTGTTGCCGGAACATACCTATGCAAGAAGACCGAAGGGAGGCACACGCACCTGCTGGAGCTAGCGGGATCCAATAAGAAGAAAGACGAGACTTTGAACAAGGATAGCTCTGACGGCTGGGGAACAGTCGATGCACAATCTCTTCGTGGAACGGACAGTCAGGGCAGCCCGCTGCCGTCGAACAAGGACTGGACTGGCATCGTGGGATTCTTTCACCCATTCTGGTATGTCCTGAGCTTTACAAGGCTTGAACAAGCAGTGCAGGAAAAGGGAAAGAAGAAAGAAGAAAAGGAATGGAAACGGAATATGGGTCGCTAATCTTTTCGGTAGTAATGCTGGTGGAGGTGGCGAAAGAGTCCTCTGGGCTGCTATTCGTGCCACTCAAAAGCAGTGGCCCTACGCAATCTGCGTCGTCTACACAGGAGACCGTGACCTCAAGAAGCATGAGATGGTGCATCGTGTCAAGGTAAGTAGACTGATAGAGCATCTCTTGACTCCTCCACCTTCTTTTTATGGAACAGCACTTTCTGACTGACTATTCTGTTCTGTTTTTTCAGACCCGTTTCAATATCGATCTACACCCCGACACCCTCTTCTTTCTCCACCTCAGCACCCGTCACCTGGTCCTCGCATCTACATGGCCTCACTTCACCCTGCTGGGCCAGTCTCTCGGCTCGATGGTTTTGGCCTGGGACGCCTTTGGGCAGCTCGTCCCCGATCTATTCATCGACACTATGGGCTACGCCTTTGCTCTTGGCTTGTCCAAGTTCCTCTTCCCTAGTGTTCCCACTGCAGCCTACGTCCACTACCCGACCATTTCCACCGATATGCTCGAGTCCCTCGACCCAAAGTCTACAGTCGGAAGTCAGGGCGTCAATGCTGGCCAGGGTGTCGGTGCTCGGGGCGTCGTGAAGCGTGCTTACTGGAGGTTGTTCGCTGCCCTTTATGCCCGGGTGGGGTCAACCGCCGACGTAGTCATGACCAATTCGAGCTGGACCCAGGCGCACATCCAGCAAATCTGGGGTCCTCGCCGTGTCATCCGCTCCCGTACACATCCCATCGCCGTGGTGTACCCGCCATGTGCGGTCGAAGAGCTCGAGAGCACCGTTGAGGTGTCGGCGGCCAGCGAGGCGCGCCGCGAGGAGATCATCCTCTACATCGCCCAGTTCCGTCCCGAGAAAAACCACAAGCTCATCCTGGGCGCCTTCGCCGAACTGCGGAAGAGGGAAATACCGGCCTTGCGCGACGCACGTCTGGTCCTCGTGGGCAGCGTCCGGGACGATTCCGACTCCAAGCGCGTCTACGAGTTGAGGTTACTGACCAACGAGCTCGGCATCCGGAACCACGTCGACTTCCGCCTTGACGTGCCGTGGCCCGATATCCTTGATTGGCTGCGCAGGGCGTCCGTTGGTGCGAACGGCATGTGGAACGAGCACTTTGGCATTGGCGTGGTGGAGTACCAGGCTGCTGGTCTCATCTCGGTGGTTCATGACAGTGGAGGGCCAAAGCTCGACATTGTCGTTGACGTTGACGGCGAACCGACAGGTACTTTTGGCACTTTTTTTTTCTTTTTCTTCTTCTTCTTCTTTTCTTGTCTTGTCTTCTTTTCTATCCCGACTACTCTTTCTCAGCCCAGGCTAATTTGGTTCATCTGTCTAGGCTATCATGCGACCACGGCTACCGAGTTTGCAGATGGTTTTGAGAAAGCACTCTCTATCAAGGATCCGCTTGCCATGCGACAGCGGGCTCGGCGATCGGCGCAACGCTTTGGGGAAGAGGAATTCGCGCGGAGATGGCAGGCGCAAATGGAGGTGCTGATCGGCATGGCTTGAGGATGCAAGGGGATCTTGAACTGTAGGCCTGGCTTCTTACAGGTCCTTACTATTCCTCCGTTTTTCTTCCTTTTCTCTTGTATGATCTTTGTTGTATCTTCACGGGTCGTGCCTCGGTAGCGTCTCTCTTGTTGTTGTTATCTTTTCATCATCATAGCCCACGGATAGACTTAGCGATACCCCGAAATCACCTCTTTCTCCGTAGGACACGATGTTGCCTACCGAGATAGCCGACCATCCATCCATTCAAGAGACGGAAGAATAGCCGGCATGTTGCAGCGAGAGCTACTTGCTTTCCATTCGTCATGTCTATTGCGTCTATCACCTTACGGGGGAGTGAGTTGCCTCGGGTGCATATACGGAAGGTTGTCATGTGAACATGTGTACGCCATATCTAATCTATCAGGTCGTTCCACCAAGATGAAAGTCATCTCGTCAACCCGCCGCTGTGACGCTGGCGCGGCTCACCGACCGCCTCGAAGACGCCATGGTCAAGAACACGAATGGCCTGCACAGCGCTCAGCCCCTCGGGGACCCAGGTGATGTTGTGCCCCTTCTCGTGCAAGCTGGCAGCGGTGGCGTTATCGAAGCTGTACTCCAGCATGACACGGTTGGGCATGAGCTGGTCGTGCAGCCTCGGGGCGCGCATGGCGTCGGGCAGGGACCAGCCCTGCTCGAGGACGCGCCAGATGACCTGGGCGGTGGCGCTGATGATGCGCGAGCCGCCGGCGGCGCCGATGGCCATGCGGAGGGTTCCGTGGGCGTCCTCGACGAGGACGGGGGAGGAGGACGAGAGGGGCCGCTTACGCGGGCGGATGAAGTTGGCGGGGGAGGGTTCGAAGCCGAAGGCGTTGCGGACGCCCGGGATGGAGAAGTCGTTCATCTCGTTGTTGAGGACGACGCCGGTGCGGGGGTCGATGCGGAGGGCGCCGAAGAGGAGGTTGACGGTGGAGGTCAGGGTGGCGGCGAGGCCCGAGGCGGCGCCGACGGCGGCGACGTGGGAGGTGCCGAAGCCGGGGGTGGTGTAGTAGTGGGGGTGGGGCAGGTCGGAGCCGTGGCGGCGGTCCGGGTCGTAGTGTTCGACGGGGAGGGTGGCGTCGTCGCGGATGCGGGCGCGGATGGCCTTGGCTTCGGCGGCGGAGAGGAGGCGGCGCTCGTAGGCGGGCATGCCGGCGACGAAGGATGGGTCGCCCAGCAGGGAGCGGGCGCCGTAGGCGAAGCGGGAGGCCTCGTCGAAGCGGTGGGTGGTGAGGTTGGTGTCGGCGGCGGCGTGGTCGTCGAACTGCTCGAGGATCTTGAGGGTGTTGAGGCAGACGGCGCCGCTGGCGGGGACGCCGGCGGAGATGAGGGTGAAGTTGCGGAAGGTGGTGAGGAGGGGTTCGCGGGACTCGACGCGGTAGGAGCGCATGTCGTCCAGGGTCATGATGCCGCCGGTTTCCTGGACGGTGCGGACGAAGGAGGCGGCGAGGCTTCCGGTGTAGAAGGCATCTGCGCCTTCGATGGCTATTGTTTTGAGGGTTCTGGTTTTTTTTTTTTGTCAGTACTTTTGCCTTTTCTTCTCTTCTCTGAGGAAGAGGAGTTGCATACGCGGCATAACGGTTCAGATATATCGTGTCCCCAAGACCGAGCAACGTGCCTTTATCCCAACCCTGGTCAGTCATACAAGCGCCAAATCCTGGGCTGTTTCGAAACGGCACGGGGCCACCTACCGTTGGGAGCGAACTCTTCAGCCCATTCCGGATCTTCCACAAGGAAGTTTCTCCCGGCGCTCTCGATGGCCGCTTTCATGTACCGGTCCATGTCGGCATTGATGGTGATGCCGCGCTTGGCAAGATGAGAAGCAGGCATAACTACCCGATCCCAGGGCAAAGACTATGGACGTGGGCGGACACGGACATGGATAGAACTTGATGTCAGGAATCGAGATTTTAAATTCCAGGAGGGGGGGGGGAAGCATGAAGCAGGCCGGGCTGTGAAGGGGAAAGACACATCACTCACACCATACTTCTTATGCATATACTCCAACCCCTTCAACTCCCCCGGGACACCCACGGCCAAGCCGCCGGATATGCTCGCGTCGGCGTTATTGTTGAACATATCCTCGCTGGCGGCTGCCGGGGCGGATTCCCTGAAATCGACGACTTCGTAGTTCCCTTCAGAGTCGCGGACTACGGCGAATCCTCCACCTCCGATGCCGGAGTGGTACATGGCTGTGACGCCGACGCAGAGCTGGGTGCCGACGATGGCGTCGATTGCATTTCCCTGAGTGGACTTGGTTAATATGAGGAAGACGAATGTGATGTAGTAGATGTGTAGGTGTAAGTGGGCAGACAGCAGAGCAGCAGCTAGACTCACTCCCAAGGCCATGAGATCACGGCCAATACGGCTACATTCGATGTTCTCACTGACCACAGCACCATTTTTGCCTCCCGCGTTGAAGATGAACTCGTTTGGAGGGACGAACGGGGCCGCCAAGGATATCGATATCCTGGATAGCAGAAGGGCGATGGTTCCAGCCCATGGTAGGGGTCTAGAGGAGAGGGACGAAGTGGAAGATGGAGGAACTATACGGGAGCCAAGGTCAGTGAGTCTTTTGGGTCTTGGCTTTTTGTCATGGTCAGTTCACATCTTCAACCCTTTCTTCCAATTCCGCCTTTCCTGCTGTAGCTTACAACAGAGACATCGATGACCAGACTTTTCATCTATTCTTCCTCTGGTCTCTGTCTCCGATGGCTGTCCGAGAGTTGAACGACAAAAGAAAGACTTTCCATACCCATATTGGGGGTTGATTATGCCTTGTCGCCGGTTAAGACATTTATGGAGGAGGCATCTCAGGGGGCGGAGGACCGGTACTCGAAAGATATAGATAAAGGATAGCGTTATGAAATCACCCGTAGGTAAATAAACACGACTAAAACCCCCGTCCACGTGCCGTCCTGGCCCTTGTCGAATGACCCAGTTGGCCCCGTGCACTTCCCTATCTCTTATCTGCACTCAAGGGCCACTACCGGTACGTCCCATCGGGACAAGGGACAAGACAGGTACTAAACCGTAAAGGGGAAGATAGACGGAAGAGATGCTTACATAAACACATGTTCCGAGTCATGCGGCCGAGACTTGCCTGCCTGAGATTGACCCAATCAGAGAACGCAGGAAAACGAACGAGTCGAGAATGCTGACCAATCAGAATTAATCTATTGAATTAAATATTACCAAAAACTTGGGCCCTTATTCCAAAATTGGCGATGAATTTTCAAGCCTCAATATCATCAAACATCCATCACTTTTCTCCGTCCTCAACTCATCCGCTCATCCGCTAAACAGCATGCCGAAGGTGATTGAAGAAATTTCAGAAGAATGAGGTAGCACCCCATTATATCTTTGGATAGAAAAGAAAAAAAAAGGGGGGTTATTCCGACGAGTCCGAGGGCCCAATTCCCAATGCGATTTCTCACGCACTTCACGACATCAATCACCAAATCTTCACTTCATCAGACAACTCTACCATTTCTTTCTGCAAGACTGAGCCGGTCTCATCCACTGACAGCTGTCATTAATTCCAAGACGCCTACGTTTTCACTCTCAACATCAGCATCAGCATCAGCATCGTCAGCCCTACCCGTCGCCATGGCTTCACTAGATCCCCCCCAGATGAACGCCGCTGCTACCACCACGACAACCGTCACCAATGGCAAGCGGGTCTTCTCTCAAAGCCGCCGCGCTAACAAGAAGCAAAAATCCAAGAGGGAACGTAACATGAAGGAAGGATCTTCGGATGAGGTCCTCTTACTTGACATACGGGCCCTCATCAAGTCCCGTCAGGAGAACCAAAAGGAGGCCGAGGGAGACGCTTCCTCACCATCACTCCCCGAACCCGGCTCCGAAATCGACGTCGAGGTCCTGGACCTCTCCTCCACCGGCGACGGCCTCGCCGTCCACCCGGGCTCACCACCCAACCACGTCTACGTCGTCCCCTTCGTGGCCCCAGGCGACGTCGCCCGTGTCCGCGTCTTCCGCCACCTCCCCGCCGACAACTACTCCGTCGCCGACTACCTCTCCATCGTCACGCCCTCCCCCCTGCGCGACGACTCGCGCATCCGCTGCCCCTACTTCGCCTCGTGTTCCGGCTGCCAGTTCCAGATGCTCGACTACCCGGAGCAGCTGCGCCACAAGCGCCGCATCGTCGAGAAGGCCTTCCGCAACTTCTCCCAGCTCCCGCCCGAGATCGTCCCCGCCATCGGCGACACCATCGGCAGCCCCCTGCAGTACGGCTACCGCACCAAGCTGACCCCGCACTTCGACGGGCCCCCCGGCGCCGGCGGCCGCAGGGGCGCCAAGGCCGACAAGACCCGTCCCGCTTTCACGTCCGTGCCGAATGTCGGCTTCAACCAGAAGGGCAGGAGGCTGGTGCTCGACATCGAGGACTGTCCCATCGGCACCGACGCCGTCCGCCTCGGCATGAAGCGGGAGCGCAACCGCATGCAGACCGAGTTTGCCAACTACAAGACCGGCGCCACCATCCTCCTTCGCGAGACCACCAAACGGTATTCCAAGGATGGTGAGGAGCCGCCCCCGACCGAGACAGAGACCCCGGACCATGCCGTCCGCGTCGAGACGGACCAGTACGTCGACATCAAGACGTGCGTCACCGACAACAAGGCCACCACCTCGGAACACATCGACTCGTACCTCTTCACCAACCCGGCCGGCTCCTTTTTCCAGAACAACAACTCCATCCTCTCCCCCTTTACCGCTTACATTCGCCAGCACATCCTGCCCCCACCTTCTCCTTCTTCTTCGTCGTCGCCCAAGGAAATCAAACACCTCATCGACGCCTACTCCGGCTCCGGCCTCTTCACAATCACCCTCTCGGGCCTCTTTCACTCAAGCACCGGCATCGACATCGCCGCCGACTCCATCGCCTACGCCCGCAAGAACGCCGCCCTCAACCGCATCCCCGACTCCGAGTGCTCCTTCATGGCCGCCGACGCCCCCCAGCTCTTCCGCCACGTCACCACCCACCCCGACGAGACCGTCGTCGTCATCGACCCGCCCCGCAAGGGCTGCGACGCCAGCTTCCTCCGCCAGCTGCTGCGCTTCGGGCCCCGCCGCGTCGTCTATGTAAGCTGCAACGTGCATACCCAGGCGAGGGACGTCGGTGTGCTGGTGCGCGGAGAGGTCGGTCGGGATGAAGGGGGCTTTGGAGAGGAGGAGCAGAAAGGGGAGGAGAACGGCAACGAAAACCAAGACGGTGAGAACGCGAAGAGGAAGAGCACGCGGTATGCTATTGAGAGTATTCGCGGGTTCGACTTCTTCCCGCAAACCGGTCACGTGGAGGGCGTGGCTGTACTCAACCGGGTTGATGAGCCGTGAGAGCTCCTCTATTGTCTTATGGGAAATATAGAGGAGTGGAAATGAAGAAAGATACCAAATAGCGCTTGCACATATCGACGTCTATTAGGAGCCTCACTCAAACAGCTCACCATCCTCATTATAAGCCCACTACATCCGCATCACCAGACAAAGTCGCCACATACCAGGCGCATACCAGGCGTGAGATGAATACCTGTCCTATACCTATATCCATAGCATTCCCATATCATCTTCTCATCCGACATTAAATACCCATTACCCTATCCTTACTTCGTCGCGTCCTTGTCTTAACCAAAACGCTCATGAGCCTCCACTACCTTCCCCCCCCTCAAGGAGAACCTTCAACGCCTCCAAAATGACCTCCACGACTTCCCCCCGCCGACTCATTTTCGCCGCCTTCTTCAACACCTCCACCCCATACCGTTCGCGAATCTTCTTCCGCGCCATGGCGCCCGCCTCCCCCTCGGCGACCACCATATTATACACCACAAACCCGCCGCGGTGCCGCAGATCCTCGCCCTCTTCACCACACATGCCCAGCACCATCTCGACGCCGCGATCCCGCTCGACGATGGCGCGCACAACGCCGGGATGCCCCGTAAGCGCCGCCAGCGCCCCGCCCGCCGCGCTGCGCGTGCCCTCGTCCTCCGCGTCCGCCAGCGCGAGCAGGACGTGCAGCCTGTTCTTGGCCCCCGCGCTGCCGTCGGCGTAGAGCGCCATCCCCTCGGGCGCCTGGACCAGGTTGCACACCAGCTCGACGGCCGCTTTGGCCACGAGCGCGTTGGAGGCGACGAGTTGTTCCTCGACGTGCGGCCACGCCGTGCGGATGATGGCCCGGCGCGTGTCGGCGTCGTCCGTCGACGCGAGGTTCGTCAGCGCCATGAGGGACTCGAACGTCGGGAGGAGGTCGCGCGTGTCGGCGGCCGGGTCCGGGGGTAGGATCGAGAGGAGGGGCCGGATGGCGGAGCTCTGCGGGTGGGAGCGGCTACCGCCGAAGACGAGGGAGGGGTTGGTGCTGATGAGGATGCGGGCGAGGGCCTGGGCCGCGGTCCGGCGGCTGGCGGATTCGGATTCGGGGAGGGCGTGCCAGGCCGAGAGGAGGAGCTTGACGGCGCCTTGCTGGGCGAGCTTGCCCCGCACGGATGTGGTGACGGATAGGGAGAAGATGATGGAGACGATGAGGCCAAGCGAGGCGGGTGAGGCGAACTTGCTGTGCGAGAGGAGAACCGGAGTCACACCGGCGTCGAAGACGAGCCTACACCTTTCGCCGACGTGCTCGTCGTCCAGGAGAGGATCCTGTCGGATCTTTCCGGCCGCATTGGCGTAGGCCTTGAGCTGATACATCTTCTTCTGCTCCTCGGACAGGGTGGGCTGGTACCTTGTCAGGTTGACCAGGATGCTCAGGGCGCCGTAGGTCAACGGGGACTTGGGTTGGGCGTTGGACAGCGTGTACACGAGCTTGTTTAGGAAATCTTGGTGGTGCGCCAGGTCTTCCCTGACCTTGGGTTGCAGCGAGGCGTAGGCCAACCCTTCTATCGAGTGTGGTGTGCCGTGATTGTCGTCCTCTCTGAGAAGCATGCGGGTAAACCTGGATGAGAGGTCTTCAATAGTGGTGACGGCCGGTGTGATTCTTTCCTGTGGTTGTGACTGCGACTGCGACTGCGACTGTCCTCCCTGTCGCCCTGATGCTTGGTCATCCAACGAAGCTGCCGAGGGGGGCATTGCCTTCCGGTCGCAAGTCAGTCAGATCTTTCCACGACGGGTTCGGTTCGCACCCTGCTGGGATGAAGATGAGGGGGGGTTAAAACCATACTCTGAGCTTGGCGAGGATGACGGCGGCCATGTTCTGAACGGCCTCGGAATGGCGGCGCATGGTGACGGAGGAGGCCCCAGAAGAATCCGGGTCCTGGGCCATGAACTCACGGGCGACCTGGTCCGGGTCCTGATCGACCACCTCCTCGAGCCAGTCGGCGCAGTACTTGAGAACGGCTTCGCGGCAGGCCGAGTTGATGCAGGCGGCGTTGAGCATTTCGAGGCAGGCCGTCTCGACTTTGCGGCTCTTCCACTTGCGGCGCATGAGCGGGCCCAGGGCGGCGAGGAAACCCTCGGAGAGAAAAAGGGTGGCGGTGAGGTCCGGGACAATGGGGAAGGTGGAAGCGGCGACGCAGAAGGCCAGTATGTAATCGTCATAGGTGCCTCGGCGGACCCTGTCGAGGAAGAAGGACGAGAGATTGTTGGCGCCGTCGTCTCCTGCTGCCTTGAGGTAGGCGGCCGTGGTGAGGACAGCGTGGCCTCGGACGGCCTCGGGCTGGCGCATGTCGAGATATGAGAGCATGGTGTCCACGCAGTCGGCATCCATGACTGAGCAGATGGACGGAGCAGAGGCGGCTGTTCCCTTGGATGGCTGGTGGATTTGTGAATCTTCGTTGAGCAACTTGGTGAGCTGACCGAGGTCCCGGATGGTTTCATCGTCTTCTTGGCCACCCTCCATCAATCGAGCAAGGATGAGCAGCGTCTCATCCTCCTTCGACAGTTCCGCCTTGGGCGGGGTGGCACCGACGGCGGTAGCCATGACGGAGAGAGGGGAGAAGGGAAGGAAGGTCTCGTATTAGTGAGTAGCAGGCAGAACGAGATCCAATTATGACTTGAAAGGTCATAGGAGAGGGAAACTGGCAGGCGCAGTTGTTTTGGCCACTGGGTGTTGTTGTTTTTGTGATGGGAGATGGGAGATGGGAGATGGGGGATGGGAGATGATTATTCGAAAAGCTAAAAGAAGCTCGATGAGGCGTCGTCACAACCGCTGAAGAGCGTCCACTATTAGCATTCTAACTTAGGGGATCGTAGTGGGGGTTCTTATCACATGTAGTGGCTCTGTCAGCGCTATGGTTGGGGGTTCTGTGGTCTCTCTGGCTTCTATTTCGAGTGTTTGATGTGCGGAGTAATTACCTAAGGTAATTAATACCTTAATAAGGTACGTACAGTCAGTACCTTGGTTACCTTAAGGTAGACTGACGCACACGTAATTACAGTGGTAACACAACTTAAAGTACCTGTGCCTTGCGGAGCTTATTAACGCCGGATGTACTATGCATGCAGATATTCGGGCAGCCAATGTCAGATTCAGTGTTCTCTTTTCCTTTCTCTTTACATATTTCACAGATTCCCTATATAATGATTATTATAGATCCGCAAGGCCTTTTGACCCAGCTTGGAGCATACCAACTACCTTATTAGGTGTGAGTCTGGAGCTACTGTAGGTCATCAAGCTAATCGCAAAGTAAGGTACTTCGTACAGAGTACGGAGTAAGCAAAAGAATAAGGTATCTTATTAGGTCCTCCGTATACCTTGTACGAAGTAAGCCTCAACCTCAGTGGCCCCACGGCAGAAGTACCTAAATACCTACCTTAGGTAAGAACCCATAAATAAGCGGTACGTACCTTATCAAACGCCTGCACGGACGCGCTATCAAGAACGCTAATTACGGATACTTCGACGTTGTAAAGCCACTGGGCTTATTTTAACAATATTGAACCTCTTCCAAGTCCTCTTCCAAGTCCTCTTCCAAGTCCATCTCGTGAACAAAAACGAAAAGAAAAAAAAAAACCCCAGACGAATCTACTTCGTACACCTTATTCAATGTTCATTTGGTGACACTTTCATCCACCCCCTTCTTGTCCCTCCTGGGGAAACTTTCATTTCATGCCAAGAATCCGAACCACCCTCGTTCACCATGAATGAAGTCGACGCCTCGGAACACTATCAAGGGGCCACCTCCACGGCCGGGGACACCACGTCCCTGTGCACTGTGATCATCGACACCAACCCTCGCGCCTGGGCCGCCATGAATGACGTCTTGCCCCTCCACAAGGCCGTCTCCAACATCCTCATCTTCCTCAATGCCAACCTCGCCTTCAACAATTCGAACCAGGTCGCCGTCATCGCCTCCCACACCAATCGCGCCGTTTGGCTCTATCCTTCCCGACCAGACCCCCCGCGACCCTCCCACGATGGCGGCTCGACCGAAGACATAGACATGACCGACGCACCGCCAGCCTCAACCGTGCCCACGCGCGCTACTTCCTCCGCCAACAAGTATCCCCAGTTCGCCCAGATCGAGACCGCCGTCCTCGCCAGCCTCAAGAAGCTCCTCGACGAGACCACCGAGCCTGACCTCTCCTGCACCACCTCCCAGCTCTCCGGCGCTCTTACCCTCGCCCTCGCCCACATCAACAAGACCTCCCTCGCCCTCGCCGCCAACTCCCTCTCCGATAAGGCCAACTCCGTCCCCGGCGCCGCCGCCGCCTCCTTCTCCTCCTCCACCATCGCCCCGGGCATGTCGGCCCACATACTCGTCCTCTCCGTTTCGGACGCCGAGCCTTCCCAATACATCCCGACCATGAACGCCGTCTTCGCCGCCGCCCACGCCCAGATTCCCATCGACGTCATCGCCCTCTCCCCGGCCTCCGTTCGCAGCAGCAACAACAACAACAACAACAACAACAACACCTCCCCCCCTGACGGGCCCGACTCTCGACCCCCCCGACCGGGCTCCCACGCTGCCAACCACTCCGCTTCAGCCACCTCCTCTTTCCTCCAACAAGCCGCCCACATAACCAACGGCATCTTCCTGTGCCCCTCGACCCCGCGGGGCCTCCTCTCCTACCTGACCTTCGGCCTCGCCTGCGCCGACAAGACCGCCCGCGCCGCCCTCGTGCCCCCGACCCACCACTCCGTCGACTTCCGCGCCGCCTGCTTCTGCCACGGCCGCGTCGTCGACACGGGCTTCGTCTGCTCCGTCTGCCTCAGCATCTTCTGCTCCGTGCCCACCCTCGCCAGCGGCGACAACTCCACTGCCAATACTCCTACTACTACTACTACTACCAATACTGCTACTACCTCACACACCGCTCCCGTGGAGTGCCTCACCTGCGGCACACGCCTCGCCCTAGGCTCATACGGCGCCCGTCCCGCCGTCGTCCCCCGCCGCCGCAAGAAGAAGAAGCAGCGCGTCCTCCCCAATGGGAGCGTCAGGGAGGAGACGGGCAGTGCGACAGCTACGCCTGCGAGGTGACGAAAATCGCCGGACCCAAAAACAAACTAAAAGTATAATAACGATAATAATGAAAGAAGGAAACAAAAAAAAAAAAAAAGGCAAAAGACAAAACAGATCCCCGCGTGTCTGAGAAGCACCGCCCATTGCAAAAGGCATGTTCGATGACCTGGCTGGCAAGAAACGCCTTTGCCTGCGGACGTTGAAAAGTGGGTAGCAATCTGTCAAGGACCTCTTGTGCCCTTTCTACCCCTGAATGACCTCTGCCTCCATGTAGGATGCCTACTCCCTCCCAGTGAATGCGGAGAGTGGAAGGCGATAGCCACGGCGTGGATTGCTGACTCCCTATGTCACAGCCAGCGGGATATGCCCTGGTTACGTATATATGACAAGAGGACAAGCCTAAACCTCGTGTCATTATGGGAGTCGGAGCCAACAGCAAGTGGCAACCAGTGGGATAGAATCAGGCTCCCTTGGGAGTGGCCTACTCGAAATATAGGAGCGACTTCACGAGTTGTATAGCGACGACGACAGGACAGCGCCCATTGCACATAGCATGCATCAGACAGCTAGCACAGCCAGTAGCCCAGTGAAAAGGCCGTGTCGCTGGTCACTTATAATCTGGGAAGAGCGCCTACTTCGAACCACTTCCCTTGTCCAGGAAGTTCACTTATTTTCCTGGACATGACTTCCCAAGTCCATTTATCATCCGTAATTCCGAGTCTCCCCTCTCTCTCTCTCTCTCGCTTTACTTCGTTTACTTAGGGGGATTTACACATACAAGGGTATCTCTAATGTCTAGGTAGGCAGGCGCGTGTGCCTTAGGTGCGCCAGTATTACAGGAAAGTGAAGCCAAGCACCTGAGAGTTCCAAATACAGCCTCGAGGAAGAAAACAGTCTAGTCAGAGCCAATGCAGCTTTCTAGGATCCTTGACCCCGATACGCCACTTCGTCTCCCTGAACTCACACCCCCTTCGCCACGCTATTCCAGTGCGACCTTTCGTGCGCCTCGAGTCACCTGGGAAACGTCCCCAAGTCGTGACATGACACACTGGGGTTCCTTGTCGGAGCTTCCCATCGACGCGAGGGCGAACGAGTCCGTGTTGTGGGCGAAGTACAAGTAGCAACCCCCTCTCGTCTTCTTGACCGTCATCAAGCCTATGGCCCCGACCGGATTGCAATTCTTGACGCCCGGGTGTCCCATAAAGTCGTCCTTGATAAAAGATTCCATGATCGCATCCTCGTCATCTTCCTGGACATCCTGGCCTCGTGGGCCTCGTCGCGTGTTGCGGTATATCCTCTCGGCACACCGCTGTGAGGCCATGGTCGTGGCCATGTGCTCGCCCGTGCCGCTGGTAACAGTGGCGACGCAGACGCCATCCGGATCGTCTGGGTCGCAGGGCACGACGGCCGTACCGACACCGACGAGAGCAGCGGGGCCTAGGCGTCCTCGGTGCTTCATACCGATTCCGCCGGACGAGGATCCCGCTGCGATAGTCCCCTTGGCATCAATCGCGATGGCACCAATAGTGTCGGTGATCACATCCATTGTATGCTTCGCATCGTCGGTACCTGCAGGAAAGGGGAAGGGTCGCTTAATACCGCGAGGCGCTTGCTGCGGTTCCCGTTGCCCTTCATTTGTTGGCCTAGTTCCACCTTCCTCGAGCCGGGGGGATCTCCCTCCGTCACGGTCTCTTTCATGAGGTTGGGATTCTAGAATGGAGTGGACTTCCAAGCTCGACATTTTGGCAGGGGAAGCACGACGACCTCTGGGAGAGTTTACATTGTTGGCGGAATCGAGATGGCATTGCTCAGGCGGTGGGGGAGCTCGAGGTTCGATCAATCCGGCGTTCAACGGCGTGATGGGTGATGCACCCGGCCGGCATTCTGATTCAGGAGGACCATGATACGGCGAGTCGGGTTGCCCTTCATTCCATGTGCCTAAGAGAATCGCGTGGGCATGATCTCCCTGTTGGGGAAAGCCTGATCTCATCTGGTCAGTCGGGGTGCTGAGAAAAGTCCCATGCGGCTGAGAAGATGCGAGGTTAGATGGTGCAATCTCAGGGCCGTAAACCTTCTGTGACTCGCCCCCTTGCTTCAATCTCTCGTCGGCTCGCCGCAGATCGTCTTGCCAGTGTAGAAAGCGATCACGGGAATTTTTGGAGATTAAGCTCTCGTTGGGCACCACGAGCATTCCATGTTCCACGGCAAAGTTCCTCGCTCCGTCACCGACGAGTATGTTCGGGGGAACACGTCGAAGGGTCATAGGTTGCTTGCTCTTGTCGAGGATCAACTTGGCGAGGCAGATGGGGTTGCGGACGTCTGTCGAGAGGTTTCTTCCCGTCAGCTAAAGAGGGCTCGTTCCATCAGAATCGAGCGCTACACACTCACTCGGCACTGCTCCACAAGCACCGCTCCGCCCGAGGTGATCAACAATTGTCGCATCGCACTCGACCGTCCCATCTATGGACAAATTGGAGCCGTAGCCTGCATTGGTGATCTCTTTATCTTCGAGCACACGCAGGGCTGCCTCGACAGCGTCCGTTGCGGACGCACCAGATCGCAAGAACTTCATCGCCATAGTAGCGGCGCTGCATGCTTGTCAGAACCAGACAACAGCTTAAGAAGAAAGGGGGGCCGAGAGAGGGCTCACTCGTTGCACGCTCTGAGGTGGAGGCGCTCGTTTTGATGGCTGTGGAAGCCAGCTCCAGCGTGGACGAAGATGGCACCTGCATATTTGGGCCGTTGTTCTCTGGTCGACGGTCGATTTACAGAACCGCTGGCATTGGCGTTCCCGAGAGAGCGGGATAGTCCCCGACCGGTTCTGCGCGAAGTCGTTTGTGGCGATCCAGGAAAGCCGAGTCGAAACGTGTTACTGCGCCCTGGATGGCCATGTCCGGGCGGCGCATCGGGTTCGTTCATCCTATGCTGCCCCGATTGTTGTTGCTGCGGTGCCCCTGCTAAGGGGAACGACGAAGATAGATGGGCGGCGCGGATCTTCTGAATACGGCTCAGCATAGACGGTTTGAGGCGAGGTGGAATCGCAGCAGCATCTGTCGTATACGGCTTGGTGGGACCAGAGGTGGTTTTAGAGGCAGCAAGCTGACAGATCGACTCTGCGGCCTCCGACGGCAAAGATTGGACAAGGTTATCTCGGTTATCGATACTGATAAGATTTTGAATTTCGGAAAGGTTAGTAGGATGGAGAGAATCGTCTTCGGGCGCTATCCTGTGCTGGGCTTCTGGTATGATCCCTCCTTTCCCCGACTCATATGTTGCACTGGCAGACCTTCTCGAATAGACCGATGCTTGTTGTTCTGATCGTATGGGTTGCCTGAGGATCTGATTAGGTTGATATTGGTTCTGTGGAGGGCTCAGAATGGTAGGAATCTCCAGGGTGCTATCGGCGGGAGAGAATAACGGGAGCGTTTCCTGGTCCTTTTCTACGTTGGCCTTCGGGTCGCTCATGATGACCAAATGCAGCACCGTAGGGTTATCGACGGGTAGACGGACGTAGCGGCAGCGACGACAATGATATATGACCGGAGGTTGGGGCAAAAAGACAAGAGAATGGAAGGAGTGTGTGAAGAAGCAAGCCGGGTATGTCGACTCAATAGATGCAGCGACGTAGCTTGAGAAGGACTGAGAAGGACTGACAGCAGGAATACAATGAGCCCGGTTAAGATGATGCCTAGGCAACCATCCCACCACATGGGGAGCAGAGTCTGAAAGAAAAGAAAGACGATATAAAAGAGTAGAAGAGAAGAGTAGAAGAGTAGAAGAGTAGAAGAGTAGAAGAGTAGAAGAGTAGAAGAGTAGAAGAGTAGAAGAGTAGAAGAGTAGAAGAGTAGAAGAGCAAAAGAGCAATATTAGATGAGGACGGATAGTGGACAGAAGAAATAACTTGGGACAGGTCCGTTGCCCAGATCTGAAACTGGCTGGGCAAAGTTTCCAAAACTTGACTGACCAACATTTAAGGAAAAGTAACCCAAAAGCGGGAGGTGCTAGATGCTAGCTGATGGAGGAATTTAGGGGGTGTCGGGGGAGGAGCAGATGTAAGGTGAGGGCGGAAGGTGCGTTGACTGGCCTCGAGTGTTGCTTCCCACATGCCCTGTTAAGATGTAGCAGGCGAGGGAAACCCCAAACTAGGTACCTTAGGTACTTGGAGATACTTCCACTTGGAAGAGGCAGTCATAAACAGAAAGAGTTTCCTGCTAGGCGTTCGCAGGCGTTGCAACGGGCTTCGGTCTGTTAGATTCCGGGATTAGGGTTCCCCAGAATTGTATCCGCTCAGGTCTGGTTTTATGTTTTCTTTATTTACGACTTGTTGAGTCGTCTTGAGTCTTCTTCTCTTTTGAAGTTTAGTTCTTCCCTCTTGTCAAAACACGGACTCTTTGCTCTTCATCTTACAGCTCATCGTGCGACTGAAGAAAGCTTTAAAACATAGCGGAATGAGGTGAGTCTGAACATTGAAAAAGACTGAATGCGTCAGAATATTTAGGTGAGACAGACAGTGAACAATGAATGTTTTACTTGCCTGCTTGGTCCGAGACCACGGAGCGAGAATACTTCATGGAATATTTTGATGAAATGAAGAAGCTAGAAGTCCCGTCTCGGCTCGTGTAATTGAAGTCGTGATACAGTGTCAGGTCAGGACATTACAAGGTATACACACAGTACATGTCCTGATGCTTCGACCAATAGGAAGAAGCCTTGCCTCGGCCAGTCCACCAGCCACACAAGAACCCCACCTCAGTCTCCAGCCTGGGTCAGGTACCTGCCACTGAGCTGCGTTGCACACAATCCACTCCTGACGTCGTAATCCTCGTACGGCTGGCTCTCCAACCTCACCGTCGACCAAGGGACGCTAGGCTCCCTACACTACACTGCTCCATCAGCAGTATCTCTCTCCTGCTTTCATGCAATCCGACAGATAACAGGCGTATTTCTGCGCGCGAGCTTCTTCTCTTCCACAGCAATGGCTAACCAAACGCCCGCCGTTGTCATGGACAAGTAAGACAGGCCCATCCTCGACAAGCCCCCCTCTCCCCCCTTGTTTTCGTCATGCCCCGCATCCGAGAAGAGGGAGCAGACAAGCTGGAGCCGGGTTTCAGCCATTTCCGAGAGCATGTTCAAGAGCTGAGCTGACTTCATGCTTTTTAGCGGCACCGGCTTTTCTAAGCTCGGTATGACCTCCCCGATATTCCTCTCGCCGAACTTGCCCTCGCAGAGAGCCCGACCCCGTCGTCCGCCAATTCGTTTCCCGATCTAATCTAACCACCTTATCCCTAGGTTTCGCTGGCAATGACTCTCCCTCCTTCGTCTTCCCGACCGCCATCGCAACAAAAGGCGCAGGCAGCGGTGCCGGCGCGGCCCGCCCTTCTGTCGCGAACAAGCCGAGCTATCTGACCGGTGGTGCCGGCGCGGGTGGCCACCTAGGCATGAAGCGTGGCACTGAGGATCTCGACTATTTTATCGGCGATGCGGCCATTGCTGCGTCGTCGGGACCCGGTCAGTCAGCCCAGCCGAGGCAACCGATACCCACGTCGATGGTGCAAACGCCTTAGATGCTGACTACCTATTATTTGCTTCAGGGTATGGCCTGCATTATCCGATTAGGCACGGGCAGATAGAGAACTGGGTTCGTCAAATAAATAAACCAGATTGACTTCCACTTTGACGACGATGAGGAGCTGACGGTCACCCCGTCGTAGGACCACATGGAGAGATTCTGGTCGAATTCGATCTTCAAGTACCTCCGTGTTGAGCCAGAAGACCACTTTTTCCTCCTCACCGAACCGGTTCGTCTCAGACATTCTTCCCCCTTTCTTCTTTTTCCCCTCCTCGTCATCCTCCTCGATACCGCCCCTCGTCTGCACCACCTACTGACGTGTCGTGACTCTCTAGCCTCTGAACCCTCCAGAGAACCGCGAGAACACGGCTGAGATCTTCTTCGAGTCCTTCAACTGCGCCGGCATGTATATCGCCGTCCAAGCCGTCCTTGCCCTAGCTGCTTCATGGACATCCTCCAAGGTACAGGATCGATCGTTGACCGGCACCGTCATCGACTCGGGCGACGGTGTTACCCACGTCATTCCCGTGGCCGAGGGCTACGTGATCGGTTCCTCCATCAAGTCGATCCCCATTGCCGGCCGCGACATCACCTACTTTGTCCAATCCCTGCTCCGTGACCGAGGCGAACCGGATTCGTCCCTGAAGACGGCACAGGAGATCAAAGAAGAGTACTGCTACGTTTGCCCGGACATCGTGAAGGAATTCTCCCGCTACGACCGCGATCCCACCCGCTTCATCCAGCACCCCGTTCTGCAGCCCGGCGGGCGCAAGGCGACGGTCGACGTGGGGTACGAACGTTTCCTCGCGCCCGAGATCTTCTTCAACCCCGAGATTTACAGCTCCGATTTCCTGACCCCGCTCCCCGAGGTCGTGGACGGCGTGATCCAATCGTCGCCCATCGACGTGCGCAGGGGCCTGTACAAGAACATCGTGCTCTCCGGCGGCAGCACGCTCTACAAGGACTTCGGCAGGCGGTTACAACGCGACATCAAGCAGCTCGTCGACGCGCGCATCCGGGCCAGCGAGGTGCGCAGCGGCGGTGCCCGGAGCGGTGGTCTCGAGGTACAGGTCATCACGCACAAGAGGCAACGACACGGCCCGTGGTTTGGCGGCAGCTTGCTGGGGCAGACGCCCGAGTTCCGGTCGTACTGCCACACAAAGGCAGAGGTTCGTAACTCACCCAACGTTTTTGGCGTTGCGCCCCCCTTCCCTGCGATGTATACTCGCTAACTCGATGTCCAACCTCCGCAGTACCAAGAATACGGCCCTAGCATCGTTCGGAGGTTTGCACTACTGGGTGGACCCGGGGGTTCATAAAGCAGAAGCGCTTCTTGTTGTTCTGTTCTGTTCTGATTGATATTGAGACGTTCTCTATAGAGGCCGGGTTGCAGCAGATTTAAAAGCCTTTTTGCCCCGCGAATGAGAAGAGACAAAATTAACACCACTAATCCAATCCCGGGCCTGTCTGGGGCTTCGTGAAACCATGAGCAGTAGAATTAATTTACAAGGAATTTCAGATACAGTCACAAGCTCTTGGGGTGGAAGAGGAGACGGAGGACGGAGGACGGAGGACGGAGGGAGGGAAAGAGAGATGGTGTGATGCTTGCATGTGCTCGTAGGATGACGGTCTAGAAGGGGGCCTTTGGCTGGGGGAAGGCTACGGAGTAGAAGGATGAAACACGGGTAAACGTGGTTCAGTGAATCAGTGAATGGCCTGAGGGGACTAGTACTGTATGCCGAGCATGGCGCCGCCAAAGTCGAGCCCCCGAGCCCCAGGTTTCTTCCGGAGTAGGTGCCTTACAGAGCTGCTCTGGAGAACCACAGTTGCCCGCCTTGGCAACCCGGGCCCCTCCTAACAGAAAACTACCAAGTACCTAATTAAGCCGGGACCGGAAACGGAAGGGCGGCTCCAGCTGCTCCAGCTCGGTGTGCGTGTCACCTCACGTCGCTGGACATCGGATCTAAGATGGCATACTGACGTAATTACTAGGGCTTATACAATACCGTATTGTTTTAGCAAGTTCGTCAAAGGCCGAAAACTTGACGCCCCACCGATTACGACCTTATTTTGAATCGACTAATAAAACTAAGGAATCTTATAAGGTAGTCGATTATTAATATTAAGTAGAAAGATAAGATCGTCGGTCACGTCTAGTAGCAGAATATTAGTTGGATATTAACTAGGTATTTCTAGGGCCGTAAAAAGAGATATATATAGACTATATTAAGAAACCCGTTAGTATCTAATTAAGGTACTTTTAAGGTTATAGTAGTATCGTAATTCAGGCTATAGGAGATAGAGGGTTATCGGGGTATAATTTATAATCGATTTAGCCTGTGTAGGGAAGTGGGTATTTTTGACGTAAAAGGACACGAGCCGTTGCTCCTGCAGCAACAACTTTAAGAGGTTAATTAAAAGAAATTGACTCTGGATAGGTGGGGTCGATCGGACCATTTCCTCTCAGCACTAGATAAGGCAGTCGGTTCCATTGATTTCCTGCACCCATCGTTCCATACTGGTGCGTTTATTCGACTTCCCTACCCGTACCGACCAGAACGAAGCGGGGTAGTGTGTTCATGACGCCCGGCAATGAACCGCCTTTGTGCTCCCGGTTCGTCTAGTCCCAGGTATCGGAGCACTCCTCTTCACCAACCACATCTCTTGATTCTATCGACCAGGCTTTTTCGGCCTGCGCCGATTCCAACCCAATTCCGTGTTGGTGTGTATGATGCGGATTTTCCCCATCATTCCATGGCTTCCATAGGCTCTGTGCTTCGTACTGCGCTGGTCTCATGCATGTTACGCGTACAACCGCTTCTTCCAGAGCTGATCAGCCCTCCGTACATCGCATGGCGAACCCGTTGACATATATATATAGTATCTTACTTCCACGTCTCTACCCTGATGGCCTGTTCACTAATTAAACCGCCATCGACCTCAAGTGACCAACGGGTTTACTTGGCATTTTGGAGCATCCCTACACTCGCACTCTCGTATCCTGTTGCGGATCCAGACACCAAATATAGAACTAATCTAGTTTGTTTATATATTCCACCATGGCCGACGTTCAGATACCGACCGAGCAATGGGCTCAAGTCGTCGAGCAAACGGGCGGCCGTGAGCCCCTCCCAACCTGTTTTCCTGTTTTCCTTTTTTCCTTTTTTTCCTTTTTTTCCTTTTTTTCTTTTTTCTCTTTCTCTTCTCCTTTCTGCTTTGATTTCCATTGAAATCCAGCATCTAACACGCCTACTCCCGCACAGCCCTCGTTTACAAGAAAATCCCCGTCCAGAAGCCAGGTCCGGATGAAGTCCTCGTCAATGTCAAATATTCTGGCGTCTGCCACACTGACCTCCACGCCATGATGGGCGACTGGCCCCTCCCGACGAAGAAACCCCTGGTTGGCGGCCACGAAGGCGCAGGCGTCGTAGTGGCCTGCGGCTCCCTCGTCAAAAACATCAAAGTAGGCGACTATGCCGGCATCAAGTGGCTGAACGGCAGCTGCCTCAACTGCCCGTACTGCGAGAACGCCGACGAGCCGCTGTGCCAGGGCGCCCTGCTGTCGGGCTACACCGTCGACGGCACGTTCCAGCAGTACGCCATCGCCAAGGCGGCCCACGTGGCCCACATCCCGGGAAACTGCGACCTCGAGGCCGTCGCGCCGATCCTCTGCGCCGGCATCACCGTCTACAAGGGCCTGAAGGAGTCGGGCGCGCGCCCGGGCCAGATGGTCGCCATCGTCGGCGCCGGCGGCGGTCTCGGCTCGTGCGCCGTGCAGTACGCCAAGGCCATGGGCTTGCACGTCATCGCCATCGACGGCGGCGAGGAGAAGGGCGCGCTGTGCAAGAAGCTCGGCGCCGCCGTCTACGTCGACTTCCTCACGTCCAAGGACGTCGTCGCCGATGTCAAGAACAACACCCCGGACGGGCTCGGCCCGCACGCCGTCCTCCTCCTCGCTGTCCAGGAGAAGCCGTTCCAGCAGGCTTCCCAGTACGTCCGCAGCCGCGGGTCGGTCGTCTGCATTGGGCTCCCCGCGGGGGCGTACCTGAAGGCCCCGGTCTTTGATACGGTCGTCCGCATGATCAGTATCAAGGGCAGCTATGTCGGGAACCGAGTCGACACGTCTGAGGCTCTCGACTTTTACGCCCGCGGCCTTGTCAAGGTCCCGTACAAGTCGATTGGTCTCAGTAAGCTTCAGGATGTGTATACGCTCATGCGCGAGAACAAGATTGCGGGTCGCTACGTCGTCGACACTAGTAAATAAACGCGAAGGCGAGGAAATGGCATCTGTGGGATGGTCTGTGAAGCAAGTCGGGTCAAATCCGGGAAAGGGTAAGATGTCACTGAAGTGGGACACTGCGGATTACAGATATCTTCTGTCTCGGTATGGAATTGCGGCTTGAAAAGTCAATGAAAGAGAGGTAGGTATGTCGTAATAACTGTTCCCAACAATTAGGTGCAAGACTACCTAAGGCTTCGAGAGGACCAAATTCTAGGCCCTTGACTCAATGAAACAAGTTATTCGGTGTTTCAAAAAAGAAGGAAAGAATTGAAAGAAAAGGATAAAGGACGGGGTGAAAGAACCCAGCCAGCGACAACAACACCAAAAAAAAAAAAAAAAAAAAAGCAAGATGGACGATCCGCGAATCGAACACGGGACCTTCAGCATGCTAAGCAGACGTTATACCACTAAACCAATCGCCCAGTGATGGTTGTTAAGCGACTCTCGGAATCTCCCTGTACGGATACAGCGCACGCCGCGAGGAAGGGAAGTGCGCAATTACCGGACATGGCGCCGGCCACACGTAGGTACTTTGTACAAGCTTGATCCACCCCTTATTATCAAAGTGACATGATGGCAGTTTGGTGCGGATACGGTCGGCTCATAAGCATAAACTAATTAGCTACCTTAAGGTACTTGATATACGCAGTACCTAGGTAGGCACCTTATGTACCATCTCAAAGTTGTGATAAAGGCGCGGCTGAGCAGAATTCAGATTCTCTACGACGCAAATAGTCCAAAAAGAATTATATTCGCAAGTTTACTTACTTTTCCATTGCCCAAGTAGCATGATGGTGAAGATCATGGTCTTGTATAGTTGGTGTCGACGAGTAGAGACAAGTGTGGTTATGTAATGCAAGAGATTCCCAGTCAGCACGTGCGGGACATGAAACTTGCCTGGTATTAGAACCGGGATGTCGGAAAATGTCGGTCGCGGAGGAACCACAGTCCAAACCAATGACAGGTCGTGCAAAGGTCCTTGCTTCGAAGCCTTCTCGATAGCTTCACAAAAAACTAGCCTCGTTATCTCAACCAAACAAACGTCCATTTTCATCGTCTTGCTCGATCACCTCCCCCTCTCCACTCCATCTTCCGCCCTCCTCTTCCTTCCTGTCGAATACTCGACAGCGTGTCTCCGTCATAATGTATAAGCTCGGTCGCAGCCGGGCTCTGGCCTCTGCCTTCCAGCCTGCCAGGGTGAGTCTTTTGAACGTCCCCCCTTTCCCCCACCCGCTACGCATAGGGTCAACCAGACTGACGTACGACCGCGAATAATAGTTCTCTCTCTCCTCTTCCGCCAGAATCCCTAGCCTTGTACAACAGCAACGGAGACACCTAAGCATTCACGAGTACCGTTCGGCAGATCTCCTTCGTCAGGTACGCGCATCATCCCTACTCTCACAGGTCTTCTCCACCCATTATATTTCGTCATCTCTAATCGACCTGTAACATGCAGTATGGCATCGGCGTCCCGCAAGGCTCTGTTGCACACACCGCCGAAGAGGCCAAGGAAGTGGCCAAGCAAATTGGTGGCGAGGATATGGTGATCAAGGCGCAGGTTCTTGCCGGCGGTCGCGGCAAGGGAACATTCGACAATGGACTAAAGGGAGGTGTCCGCGTCATCTACTCCCCTACCGAGGCCGAGATGTTCGCCCAGCAGATGATTGGCCACAACCTCGTCACCAAGCAGACCGGCGCGGGCGGCCGCCTCTGCAACGCCGTGTACATCTGCGAACGCAAGTTCGCCCGTCGCGAGTTCTACCTGGCCATCCTGATGGACCGCGCCTCCCAGACTCCCGTCATCGTGTCGTCGTCCCAGGGCGGCGTGGACATCGAGACCGTCGCCAAGGAGAACCCGGACGCCATCACCACCACCTACATCGACATCAACACGGGCGTCACCGACGAGATTGCGCGCGGCATCGCCGTCAAGCTCGGCTTCACCGAGCAGTGCGTCGAGGCCGCCAAGGACACCATCCAGAAGCTGTACAAGATCTTCTCCGAGAAGGACGCCACCCAGATCGAGATCAACCCGCTCTCCGAGACGTCCGACCACCAGGTCCTCTGCATGGACGCCAAGTTCGGCTTCGACGACAACGCCGACTACCGCCAGAAGGAGGTCTTCTCATGGCGCGACGCCACCCAGGAGGACCCCGACGAGGTCCGCGCCGCCCAGTCCGGGCTCAACTTCATCAAGCTCGACGGCGACATCGGCTGCCTCGTCAACGGCGCCGGCCTGGCCATGGCCACCATGGACATCATCAAGATCAACGGCGGCGCGCCCGCCAACTTCCTCGACGTCGGCGGCGGTGCCACCCCCGCCGCCATCAAGGAGGCCTTCGAGCTCATCACCAGCGACGCCAAGGTGTCCGCCATCTTCGTCAACATCTTCGGCGGTATCGTCCGCTGCGACCACATCGCCCACGGCCTGATCAACACCGTCAAGGCCCTGGACCTCAAGATCCCCATCATTGCTCGTCTTCAGGGCACCAACGTGGAGGCTGCCCACAGCATCATCAACGACTCGGGCATGAAGATCTTCTCCATTGATGATCTCCAGAATGCCGCTGAGAAGGCTGTCCAGCTCTCAAAGATGGTTAAGCTTGGTA